CTTGAAAATGTTTGCAGACTAGCAAATTTCCAGAAATGTTCTGCAGACAGGCAAAGTTTCATGAAATAATCACAGACTCAAAAATCATTTGCTTGGATGACTCTATGGCAGCAGGTATTTAAAAGTGTATTCTTCTTTGCAAAAATTAAGAACCAATAAAGAAGCTATATTGTGGAATGTCTTGAAAAAATAATAAAGGTGGACTTGAGGAAAGCTTTCTCAGGACAAAAAGTATAGAATGAATTCTTTCAGCAGGTAAAAATTTGGCTTAAGTGATGCTAAGAAAAAAGCTAACTTATACTTTTTGATCAGACAATTTCAACTGCCATTGTGTTTCCAACATTTCAGATAAAAGTAAGAGTTTATTGCCACTTTTGTTAATTAATCGTGCAGCAAAAAATTTCCTGCGGACCAGCAAAAAATCTTCTGCAGACTGATATAGTGCTCTAAAATATTAAAATTTTGCCTTTTCAGAGATAAATGGATTTTTCCTTCATAAAAACTTGATTATTACTTCTGCACCTTACACCAGGGTTTGATTTTTGCCATATTTCCAAAAATGTTCTTCCAAAAATGTTCTTCCAAAAAATAAGGTCTTATACACAAGGACACATAGTAAAGTACTCAAGTAACTAAAATAGCTGTAATTCCTTTCCATGGTGGTTATACTGCAGGGAGAAAGACAGTGTTCAAGGAAACTTTCACATTTTTTTTTTCCTTCACCCCAATTTTTTCGATGTTTTTTCAATTTTTTTGCTGGAAGTTCTGAAAAAAATAAAACAGAAGGACTCACCAAAATCATTGTGCTTCCTCATGCTCACAAGCTTGAAGCAGCATCATGCAGAATTCAATAAATTTTGAAGCAATCAGCATATTGACAAATAAAATGCATTCAATTTTTTTATCCGGTTTGTAGTAATTTTTTGGATTTTCTCCAAATTAATTGAAGTATGTGGAGAAGTGTGAGGAAAAAATAATTCTAGGGGCCTCGACCAAATTTTCCTTCGTCTCACGTCAGCATTTTCTCCACTCGGGCATTTTATTTCTACAGAAATTTTTCCATTTCATCGCATTCCCTGATTTTTTATTGTGCATAAAATGCTGCATCGTCAGCTTCTTATACTTTATGTGAGCTAAAAGTTTGTATACGTATAGTCCAATATCCGCGAAAATAAAGTTTTATGAAATTTGTTTGCAGGAATTCTTTTTAAAATCACCCGTGGATGCACTTTTCTGACAATTTCTTCGTACTGATTGAGTGAACTATAGTGATTTTTGAAAATATAGAGTTGGAGCATATGAGACAGTAGTGGACGCTTCTTCGTGATTTTTCGGGCGATGATTTTTGAATGTTCACAGAAATTTTCCGTACAAGTTTCCCGGCGTGTTCAGCATTTCGTATATAGTATGTACGTGTCATGCCGTTTAAAGTTCGGAGCATATTAAAGAGGAGCATTTTAGAATGCTATATGGCACAGTCGTATTGGTCGAGTTCCCTCGAAATCACAGCGAGAAATTCAGACACGAATTCCTTGGGATCACCATCAGCACACCAAATCGGGCGAGTCGACAAAGAAGACTCATCCGTTCCACACCATATTTCGAATTGACGCCCCTTTGCAGCAGCGATTTTCATTTTAGAAATGCGCATAGCACTCGGGCATACGTCGGACCCGAACCCGTGCTGTCGCTGAATTTCCATCCTGGGGTGTCGAAATTCCGGCCCGACCCTGCTGTCGGGTTGCCCAATCCTCGTTCGTTGTTGTTCGTCGTCGGAATACATGTACTGTAGTGTACGGTATTGTACATTTTCATATCCGAGCTCATCCGTATCCATTCTCATGATCAAATCCCAATCTCAAGCTGAAAACCAATACAGCGAATATAAACATATACCGTACATCTTTGCATTAAGTGAAATAAGTTCTTCAAGCAGGGATTCGATTTTGGCGGAATAAGATAAATGGCTGTTTGGAATGGCAGACTGGGTTCAGGATTGGTTGGTTATTAGCTAGAAGGATTGAAAAGGAAATGATTTAGTGAAAGGACCCATTAACACTTGATTCTCACTTCTCCTCTCAAAGAGGAATGAAGTTTTTTATACCCGGGTGCTCAGACTGCTGGATCAGGATTGGCCAATTCAGGCACTATAGGAAGTGATTACCATTTATTGGCCTTGGATGAGGCTCAGTGAGTCTTGCCAAAACAGGACTTTGTCAAGGCTCACTGGCCTCAGGATAAATTTTGTTTTCTTAGTCAGTTGCAACCAGATGGATGAGCAGCTTCTCTGCTTTTGGATGCAACAGATACAATGCAGACATTTGTTTATATAAATTTAAATCTCAAAATTTTAAACTTCCCAAAGTCAAATACCTCATACAGTATTAAAAAAAAATTTAAATCCCTGTCTTAATTTCCTTAAAAACAATGCAGTAAAAACCTCCCTAACTCAAGGCTTTCCCACACTCAAACCTCCATAACTTCCATTTTCCGTGGCGCTTTGGCCATTATTTTATCAAAACAGAAAAAAGAAAAGCAATAAGAATGTAACTTTATCTGTTTCAAAGGAATTTAAATAAATACCAACTGGGCAAATTCACTCTTGCCTTCAAGTTTTAGCCTCCTGGCTGTGCTACGGTTAAAGGGAAAAATTTGAAATTTTAGTTTTCTGTGATTCTTCTTGATTATTTAAAGCAAAATATAGGCGTTTCTTCAACTCCAAACCTCCCCACCTAACTATATTTTTTTCATTTTTATTTTTTATATTTTTGCTTGTAATTTGAAGTTTGACTTGAGGAGGCTCAACCGCAATAATCCATGTTATACAGCAGTATTGTGTATCAGTGTAAATGTATATGATTTCAGTGGCATTTATTAGCATGAGTACCCAGCAGAAAGAATGTCATCAATCGCGAATTTTGCGCTCTTTAAATCACGCAGGTATGAATTCTTGTGATGGCGCATCTTGCTGGATAAATTTGAAAAGAGGGATATACACAAGTGATAGAGTCTCTCTGCAAAAATCTTGTCTACAGCAAATTCGCCCACGTGCACAACGATTTTTTATTTTTATTTTTTTGTGTGATGAAGTTATTCTCCCCTATGTTATGTATATATAGGCGCGTGCTCTGCAACAAAATTCTCTCTGTAAGGAATTTTTATACGGTACTTTTTTCATATAAACGCAACTGTGGAATTGTCAAAGTTTCTTGATATATTTCCATAAACCCGGCGTGGGTTCCCTTGATGGGTTCCCATGCTTCTTTTGGCGCCTTATTGGTTTGGTCCTTATATTTACAGGCACGCAAGCCCATTTGGTTCACTCCTGAAGACACAATCCTTTTTTGTTGTTGAGGCAATGATGAGTGTGCTGTAATATAGACTTAGGTGTATAGAGGGTATGATCGATTCTAACCTATAACCCCCGAACGACTGATCCGGATAACCGCTCGTACGTAGCATAAGATTCGGTTACGGCCTCTGCTATATATGGTGCATTAATTTTTATTTCTATTTTTTTGCTGCAGGAATGACAAACATGGAGGAGTGACTATTGAATCATTCCCAGAAAGTTAAGAAAACAGGTATTTTCAAGAAATATGTAATAGTGTTATTCTTTCATAGCATAGATAGTATATAAGGTACTGTATAGCTAAAGCAGTGTATATATACAGTATAAATACTCCAAAAAATAATTCTCGAAATGTAATCCGGTGTCCGGTTCATCGATACATGGAATGGATGCAGTTGTACGTCTGATAATAGATTTAAAGGAATACCTGGAACAGTTCTTTCCTTTTCCAAAATGTATCAATATTTTCAAACCCAAGATTTTGACAACTGCATTGACGATTGGAAGTGGATTAAACACATAAAAATGTATCATGTTTTATTTGAAATATTATTAACATTGCAGTCATTTAAAAAACCATCTGTTGCAACGTTTTCACTTGAGACTAGGAGAACTTCTTTACGACTAAGAGAACTTGTTAAGAGTTCCACGGTGGAATGTGTTATACATTTAAAACATTTAAAAACTGGGCTTGATGGTTGTTGATGGTCATCTTGTGACTTCATTTAATTTAAATGAGCGTATACAGTACCAAGTTAGCATTTGCCTTTTGCCCGCTGATCAATAATGGAAAGTGTTTTCTTCTTATTGAAGCCTTATATAGAACATTTTCTAAATATGCAAAAATTGTTCCCCACTAACATCCCAGGGCACCCAAAACCTGAAGAACCGGAACGACAAACAATTATCCTCTTCTTTGATCACTGATGATTTTTTTCCCTCTCGTGAGGAAATAAACTTTTTTACAAGTAAAAATCATTTGTTTGCACTATTTTCGAATTTTCATGGTGAGATGTTTTTTAGAAGATTCACTTGAGTATGATTTAAGTAAAATAGTCTGTAATAATTCTGAAAATAGAAGATGGCTATGATTCAAATGATTCACAAATTTCTTAGAACTTTCAATAAATTACATAAAAATTAAGCTTCATAGCTTGGTTTTCAGGATTATTTCACATTATATATGAATCAGTGGAAAGCATGAAGATGATTTTTGCACCAAATCTACAAAAAACTGGATTGAATAGCCACAGATTAGCGGGAAAATAATAACACAATTCCTGGAGAGTGATCGCAGACAATATACTCTATTGTACTTCCATTCACAAAATCATTATTGCTAAATAGCATTGGATTATTGTACATTGAATTTGAGATTACAATACATGTGATCTACTTATCCAGTAGTATAGTCAATATAAATACATGGAAACTTTTCTTTCTGATTTTTCAAAAACAAATAACTGTTTCTGATGAACTTCTGATGAAAATGCGACATAGGGGATCCTCGGCCAGAACGCAGTACAGAACAGTACAGTATAATACATTACTGTAATGTACCGGTAATCCAATGCCATGTCCTGATTAACTCATACATTAGAGGTCTCACTCTCCCACCTGATTCGATATCACAGAATCTACACCCTGTATGAGTGCGGATAAACCGGTTCAGTCACCGCATTCGAATATCCGGGAATTTCGGAGGATCCCTGCGTTTGTGCGGAAACTCACGTGAGTTGCTGAAAGTTTTTCCGAATGTTCTGAAATCGTTGGCGGAATGAATGAACCTTGCAGGAGGAGATAAGGTCAGATCAATTCGTGTCTTCTTAAACGTTTCTGATGGCCACCGGAATTTAAAACTTCGAATGGTGATGCTCTGCAGTTGATTAGGTAAAATCCTGGAACCGTTGCACCTTCCCGCTTAATTCGAAAGAAGTGCCGCTGAGCCTTGAGGAAGAATGTCTTTTCCTCCGCTGAAGGTGGTTTGGGGTTAATAAAAATTTGTTTTTGAAAAACATCTTGCGCGATGTCTGTACTAAACCGCGGGTCACCTCTCGTAAACTAGTTCCAAAAGACGTACTCATTTGCCTGCCAAAGCTAGTGCGTTTGCGAGTGGAATCAATTTGCCATTGAATGATGAGAAAACAAGAGGACACTATTGAGCCGAGAATCACTACGATATGTGCCGACACATACAGTAGTCGCGGTTGTCGAAATTCGGAGTCAACGTTGCGAGTGCTGAAGGCTTTGATTCGATGTGTAGTAAGTTGTTCCGCATATGCAGTAGTGTAGTAGTATTATTTCGGTGAATTCATTTTAAGCTGTTGAAAATTTAGTTTTGAACGAATTCCGGTTTCCTTCGTCTTCATTTGAAGTTTTGAATTCGAACGACGAATCGCTCCTTGTGAAAAAAACATTTTGTGTGCGATGTGTATCGGCTGAATTTTCCTATTTCATGTCCTCGAAGCGTATCTGAGTTTTTCAGTTTTCTCGAACTCCGGTGTAATGTTTCATCGTGCTATTGTTCGTGCGAAACATTTTCCCGTCTTTAGTGACAATCTAACAATGATGTGCCTAGAAGCAGACACAGCACAGTATTTATCATCGAAGAGATTTTATTCGTGGCAATATGTTCTTTTCTTTTCTGGCTCGTGAGAAATGCTATAAAAGCTGATGGGAAAATTTTTATCGTTTAGCCAAAGCGCCGCGCGAAGGAACGGGCGAGTCCGTCGCGATACAGTTCGCGATTGCATGTATCACATTACCGTATAAATTTGCAACTCCGTTCCTTGTTCAGTCTAGATGCGAATGAAATTATTTAATTGTGTTCGGTGTGAATGAGCAAAGAAACTCTCAGATGAGGCTGCCTATAGCCTGTGTAATAACATTTTTATTTTCGCCGATACTTTCGATATCAGCGCGCATAACCCCTCAATTCAAATGGCATAACTGTTCGGAGGGCTTGTCAATATACCCCCTTGGTCGAGTTATCGGCTTGAAATTTCGTCTTCCATCGGAGTACCAAACGTATAATCACAGCTACCCCGCCAGTGTGTTTGAGACGGAGCACGCCTTCAGTTACAAGAAATCGGAAGAACCGTGCAGTGAAGATGATCAGCCCCTCAAGTATTTCCGTATCAAGCCGAATTGCATACAGAAGGGGGAAATATTTGTTCCGCTCATGGAGTTTCCCGAGTTCGATTTCACGCAATTCCGACCCAGTCGGCAAGGCATCTATGGAAATGTTACCTTGTGCGTGAGGAAGGCAGAATCTCAAGACGAATGGACTGCTGAGCACACCGGAGTGAGCGTTTCTTTCGTCTATTCGGAACCTGAACGCTTTTTTCTGCCAAGTCGTGAAGCTCAATTAACGGATGATGTTCAAGTTTATGGATTCCGTATTGAATGGGTACATAGTGGTTCAATGCACACTTACATTGATGACAATGGCATATCGGTTATCCTTGCTCACGATGAGGCAGTCATGAGGATGTTCGGCAAAAATCTTCAGTCAGGTGAGTGATTCAGGCTCAAGAGAAACGGAAAGTGTTTACGGCGTGATGCTATTCAAATCCTCTAAGCTTCTTTAGTATAATGGATATTTTTTCGTGAGAAAAATATATCAACCGAGCTATTCTCGACAAATATCCTTCAACCTGCTTTACCCGCTTTTTATCTGAAAACTAAGTGAAATGTTCCAGATCTGTTTCGCTTTCAATAGTGTACAAAACAGCGTTTCTGGAATTATATCGGTTTTGGTTGAGACTTGAGAGTAATACTACGAACATTTTTTACTTACAAAGGGTGCGCCTGGAAATGTGCATCAGCCAATTTGTTTCATGATTTCGTATTATGCACAGGTTTGCGATTCAAATTTGCGCACCTCAGCACTGACGAAACCTACGAGGCCAACATTTGTGACAAAACCAGAACAACAGAAGTTTTTGTATCCGAAGCTGACCCAGCCTTCAATGGAACTTCTGCGTTGCTGAGATTCGAATTGCCGGATATGCCCGATTCTGGCTCGAGATTCTACTTGTGCATGCAACACACTGTGGCAGATGGGGTCATTTGGGTGTTGGTTGGCTCAACCCCTGGTCTAACCATCCGATCATCTTCCAAACTTCTCACCACCTGGCTTCAGTGGGTTTGCATTGCGATGCTACTTTTGGTCTCTGGACTCTTCTCGGGACTCAACCTGGGCCTGCTTGCATTGGACCGCACAGACTTGCAAATCATCTCAACGACTGGCTCGGAAAAGGAAAAGTACTACGCCAAGCAACTCATCCCAGTCCGAAAATTAGGCAACTACCTGCTCAGCTCAATTGTTTTGGCGAACGTGTTGGTAAATGCAACATTGACAGTGTTGCTGGATGACTTGACATCCGGTGTGACAGCTGTTGTGCTGTCTACAGCTGGAATCACCATTTTCGGTGAGATCGTACCGCAAGCTATATGTTCACGGCATGGACTCGCCATTGGTGCTTGGACACTTTGGATCACGAAATCATTCATGATTGTCACGTGTCCATTGTCATTTCCAATATCCAAACTACTGGACTTCCTGCTGGGCGAGGAAATAGGCAACCAGTACAATCGGGAACGATTGAAAGAACTCATGAAGGTGGGTTTAGTGTCGCTCGATTCTGTGCCGAAATTATGAGCAAGTCATTTTAGGAACTGATCAGTGACTATATTCAACTTGATGTGATAATGTATTTTATGACTCACTGGCGGATTTTTCGTTTTTAAATGGGAATTTAACTTCCGAATTTAGATTTTATCTGAATATTTCATCAGCAATTATTTCGTAGGCATTGGGCAAATACTGTGTCGGGCAGGCGTAGAAAATAAACATCATCTTCGTTTTTGAGAATTTAAATAATTCCTGATTTACAGTTTCTGATTCATTCCGAGACTGCAGATCTAAAATGGATGATTGATTGAATTATGGAAAGCCTTTTGAAATAATTCAAAAATCGCTGAATGGAAGATTTTGAGTTGTTTCTTTTCATTTTTGACTCTCTGAGGATCCGAAAATTGAGTTTGAATTGAAAGTTAATGGAAAAAATGGCTTGCATAATATTCGGTATATGGCCAAAGAACTTCCCGGCGACGTTTAAACCTACTACGGTGGACTGTACAACGAAATTCAGCTGGCTAGAGAAACTATTGTCGTTGAGAGAACTTCCTTGTAGAGGACCCCTATGGGACTAAAAAAAAATCGTTTTAGTGAGAAAATCGTACACAACATTGTTGTAGAGAGAGTTGGCCGGTTTTCAAACATCTCTGTACCATCGTTAATTTGATAGGAATAATTATCCCTTGCAATTTTTTTTATCCTCCGTAAAAATATAATACTAGTGTCTTAATTGCCCTCATACCTACCTAGTTCTTATGTTTAGAGAAATTTGGAAAATTTACATTTTCTTCACTTTTCTGTAAAGCCACTTCAACGCGACAAATTTAATATTGAGCTGTTCTATTTTTCGGGAAAGCCTGAATTTTGTGAATGTTTTTGAAAATGTCAATGGAAAAAATAAAATGCTCTATTTTGATGTCTTGTACAGATATCAAAAGCTCGCAATACTTTAGGTGGAGACGAGTTTGACATTATCTCTGGCGCATTGGATTTGAAGAGGAAAACCGTTCGAGAGATAATGACGAAAATCGACGATGTCTTCATGCTTTCTTACGATGCCGTACTCGATTTTTCGACCATGTCAGAAATTCGCCGAAACGGTACTCCCAAGTTTCAGTCAAACATTATACTGATATTCGTGGAAAATGCGAACGATATCCGAACAGTTTTTTCATGCGTATGTCGTAATTATCGCTCGTTGAAAAATCGATCCGAAAGCGGGGTCATTTGCTCTTTTTTGAGTCCCGTGATTTGATATGAAGTGCTGCAATCAATTGATGACGAATGAATGCAGGGTATTCAAGAATACCGGTGTTTGACAAGGTACGGTCGAACATCGTTGGCATCTTGTACGTGAAGGATTTGGTGTTGATGGATCCGGACGACAACACGCCGTTAAAAACGTTGTGCGATTATTACCGAAACCCATGCTTCTTCACGTTCCATGACACGCCTTTGGATGAAATGTTCCGTGCCCTTCGAGAAGGTGTGGTAATTAATATCTTGATTTTCCTTGCGTCACGTTACTAGAGAAAACAATTGATGCTGGGGACGAAAGGTTTCTACAGCATAAGATTATTTTTAAAGGGAAATACTTTGTTTAAAAACCAACACAAAGAATTGAAACACGGCAATCAGCCTGGGGCAAGATCAGACATACCTTTAAGATTTATAATTAAGAATTTAAAAGCATATTTCTGTTTGCCTGGAAAAAAATATCAGACACAATTAAAATGAAGATTTACAACTCAGCAAATTCTTTGAACCCACAATGACGCAGACGCCCAATTCCATTCTTGATTAAACTGAACGAAACTCTGTGATATGAGAGCGAAATGTCTTTTTATCAATTCTTCGTGATTGCCTTACTCTAGTTCTAGACAAATTTTATCGTATATTTGGAGGCCTCTGATTGGCATAGAAAGTCGTCAAAGAATGAGTTTCAAGGGCTACTTTGTATTTTTTTGCATTTACAGTACAATCAATTGAATGCTAACTTAATTGTGGTAACCAACGTGAGCGAGTTGTGTACCCTTTCTGCGACCCTGAAGATCTCGTGATGTTGTGATGTACTTTTTCAATCAATCTGTTCATTCATTTTTCAGTTCCTTAAAAGATTCTGACTGTGGCGTTCTTGTGTTCCAAAAATTAGTGGAATTCGCGTATTTCTTTGTAATTTCCATCGATTGATGAAGAGGCTTTCTGTAGCTTCGATAAATCTGTGGTATTGTTCATCATTGTACAGGAGTTTTTCAATTGACCCAGGCTACACAGTTTGATTTTCACATGTCAGAAATAATTGCGGAGGTGTAACTTTTGTTTATATCCTTCTCTGGAATACCATATACAGTATTGATTTCTTCTGTTCTCAGGAGACAAAGGGCATTTGGCATTCGTGCAAGAAGTTGTGGATGATGAAGATCACGACCCGTTCTACGAAATAATCGGCATCGTGACGCTGGAAGACGTGATAGAAGAAATCGTTCAATCTGAAATTATGGACGAGACGGATATTTTCAGTACGTTTTGAATACTGCCTTTGTTGAATGCCTTCGGTGTGGCCAGCGATAAATTTTTTCGTCGATAGTTGATAATCGTTCGAAAAGGCGGATCAAGCGAAAGAACGCCAGAACTGATATGAGCATGTTTTCGCAAGCTAAGGAGAATGTCGCATGGATTTCTCCTCAACTGATCGTCGCTGCTCTTCATTACTTGACGACGCGTGAGTGGCATTTTTTCTATTCAACGTTGAAAATAAGACCGAAAATGCAGGCATTCGTTTACATTTCGTTAAAGCACTGAAGTGTATGGGTAAAATTGAACGACCATAGGTGACTAAACCTTCGATGATAATTATTCGCTTTGAAAAATGCGTGAATTTTGGACTTGAATTGCTTCGTAATTCCTCCCATGATATTCATCGTTTTCTCCTAAAATGCTTCAGCAATCCGAAGTCCTCATGCAGATTATTTTTCAACGACGATTTTTATCCCTCGTTCTTCCATGCATAGAATCTCGTTAAATAGAGACCGAGAGAAATATTACTCGTATTTTGAAGCATGTGACGGATGTCCTGTTAATTTTGAACATCTCTATTTCTTCTCAGCTTGTTATTTAATGCAATGACAACATCGCATTACAAGATCAGTTTAATAATTTGCTCGTAACGTTGGTTGAAATTACGCAGATGAGGAAGCATTCAGCTCAATGCATGTTGCTGAAAGAATCCTGCGGAAACTGCTACAACAGCCTATCTATCATCAAATTAAGTTGCCGAAATCACATGATCATCGTATGTCCGAGGATGAATTTCTCATCTACAAAAAGGTGATCCACGAGAAAATTTGACTACCGTCATCGCCTGCAGTGGTTAATGGTCGTGTATTTCTCTTCTTTTAGGGCAAAGTCGTGGATTATTTCGTTCTTATTCTGGAAGGGAAAGCGCAAGTTACGGTGGGTAACGAAAATTTAGCTCTGGATGCCGGGCCGTTCTCAAGGTTCGGCAGAGCAGCGCTGGGATTCAGTGATATTTGTGAGTCGTAAAATGTTCTTCTTTGGTTTGATCAAATAACAATTCTGGCTTCGAAAGAACGAATGCACTCGGGGGTTTCCATGAGCATTAAAAATATTTTGAAACATTAGAAATAATGTTGACGTCATTACGCGCGAAAATCTTCAAATCGATGATGCGCTTTGTCGGGAATCTATTTGTATAAAATGTATCTGCTGTCGTTGATTTTTCTCGGAATACTTGATGGAAAAATTCAGAGGAAATCATAAGGTAATGTGTGATTTCTCAGTGCTGAGGAAATTCAACAGAAAAACGGAATTTTGTTGCTTCCGGAATCTATCCTCTCTTCGCCTGCTAGTAGAACAATTTTGAAAATTTTCTCGAAGAACCTGGAGTTGGCTTCCTGAACAATGAGGAAGTTTGTCCTGGTAGAGTAGGTAGACCATGTGGTGAATCTGGTGATCGTTCAGAACTTCAGATACCGCGCGGTAATCCATCTGGATCCTTGTAAGGAACTACTGTACATGAAAATGTTATATCTAGATATACAGTATTGTATTTTATTCATACTCAAGAAATAATTCCGGAGTAAATTTATGAGCTTAGGCTATATTTTCTAGGTCATACCCTGAATGGTTCAGTAGATACAAGACTGTTATGTGCCCACTGATCTTTGGTCCATATTGTGTATAGAGAATTCCTATGATGCTTTACTGTCAGAATACTTTTTCAAGTTTGGGAAAATATTGTCCGCAAAATCGCAAAAATACCCGCAATAGAATCGGTGGAGTTCTTAGAAGTTGTGAGTAACAGAAGAGTTCTTGAAGTCCCAAGAAATCCTCAGAACACTAGAATTTTCGATCTAGAACTTCCCATAGCCCTATATATAAAGTAAATTGTATTAGAACCATGTATCTGTGCATATTCGTAAGTTGCTATACTGTACTGTGAAATACTACTGTATATGAAGCCTATTTGTGGCTGAATATTTGAATAATTTTTGCTTCTATTTACCTACTGGTGGTTAATTCCCGCCTCACCAAGCATCAGCTGTCAATGAAGTGCTAATAAATAATTCCTCCTTGTCTGTTTGGCATTTCTTTTAACGTTGTGGAATTATGTTTCATTAGTATAGCTTCCTCTGGCTGATTAATGGCTTGATCTCGCTTTGGTTTGGTTGCGACTTGTGAAATTCCCTGAGAGGTTGATGAAAATTTTGTAGGGTGAGTGGTGACTGTCATTGGATTTCAGTCCTTCAAATCTAACCCTTTTGTTTGGAGTTCACTGCTTCTAGGCTGATGAGGTTTTGTCTCTCTTCAAGGTGGGAGCTAGCTCAAGTCCTTACTTGACACGCAAGTCTAGTTGCTATTGGGTATTTGTGTCATCATTGTGTCCTGCGTGTATCTTTTGTTTAGTTTACTGCTCGAATAGCGTCAGATGTTAATTCTTAAGGATATCCAGTGACGCAGTACTCTGTCAACCCAACCAAACTCAAGAGGATGTCAAGCATATGACAGACACTTGGGTTGAATGTGTAATGATCAACCCTCAACTTGTTTCATATGCTGTGGTTTTTTTTTTAATCATGAAAATGCATGGGTTTACTTGAGGGGCATTTTCACAGTTCGAATTCATCTCTATTTGCAGGTGAAAGTCTACCTCAAATTTTCTTACATTTGTTTTTTCCGCTTTCAGGTGGTGACGCGCCAGCGCCGAACTTTTTCATTGGAGCATCCCCGCTTTTGCGACGTCAGGAATCGTTAGAAGCGGAGAATAATTCTGAAAAACATGGTCGCTGCAAAAACAAAGGCCAAAAGGTGTGATTTTATTTATTTTTTTGAGGTGGTAGGGATGTTTTAATGCTAATCGATCCACCGACGAACGTATAGGAGGAAAGATAATTGAGGCTGGATCGAAATTTTATGCGACGAAAACGTTATTGTGACCCATTCCATCACAATTGATTCTGCCGAAAGGTCCACCTCTTATTAACTGATTATGCTTGAGGCTAACAGAAAAATATCGTCGGAATTCTTGGTCGATGAATCTTGTAAATGGTCGTTCAGCATTTACGGCGTCGCTGCGAAAATGAATCGTTGCGCAAGTTCTTTTCCTGATCATATACGCTCGGAAAATGTGTGGCAGAGACAAAAACACGGTGGTGCTTTTAGCGAAGCAGGAATGGACGAAGGGAATCGATGGTTTCCGAAAGTTTGCTGTTGTGACCAGTATTACGAAGGGCAGGTGTGTGTTGATTGCCATGGCCGACGTATGCTGACAACTTCGTGTCCTTCGCTGATTGTCGGGGAACCGACCTCCGGCATTGTGAGAAAGGAGCAACCGAAGCACGGGGAAATTTTTCATGAAATATTGTTGCGATTTTCGTTTGGGTAGCCTTTTTGGTAGAAGCTCAGGTCTTTATTTTTTTTGCCTGGTGCTCGAATCTGCTGCCTGCGTAGGACTGGTTAGCCTATCCTTTCTGTCGAATGTGATGGAAGACGAACAAAATTGAAAAGGTTTTACGGTGTCAGTCGGAATTTTTGAGTCTTCCGTTTGCCTAGCCCTTCTGCATTCTGGAGGGTAGAACAGTTTGGCGTAGATTCTCTGACTACGTAGTGGTTGTTTGTAGCTGTTTCGATTTTTCTGTAATGGAGTGATGGCGGTCTGATAATGAATTCCCGTGATTTTTACTGTCCTAGTAGTGAGGTGCTAATACACTTTCCTCTTATAGATTTATTTCACCGCTGAATACACGGTGAGAGCGGTTACGGACATGAGTTATCTGAAGATTCATTCTGCTCAATACATGGCTGCCAAGAGAGCCACAATTTTGTATAACAAGCTGAAACCGGAATCCGTTGGACATGATGATTATCAAATGGAATCCGAAGTAGAAAAGGTCAGTCAAAAAAATTTATTTTCAACAAGTCCTCTAAAAACCTTGACATTGGTGGCAACTTGACGCATTTTTGCACGCCAAATACGTAATATGCGGAGTGAAATACAAAGTTCATCTTCGTGAATGTGGATGATAAATCTCCTCAACCACTGCTGCCGATCGCTCGGAAAGTAGTAAATGGATCAACTCATGAAATCCTTGGAAGATTTTTAATTTTTATTTGGTAGCCTTGTCTAGTTGAAAACATCGTACAGTTGAATATCTATTAGAAAATTTGCCAATGGCTCCCGCATGCAAATTTAAATCTATGCACTGTATTTATCGATTTGGAAATTTAATTAACCTTCGAATTGGAAAAATCCAATACAATCATTCGAATAACCCCTTGCGTTGTTTTCGTGCTGAAATTTTTGGATCATCTCTGTGGATTGATAAAACTCTGTATTATTTAGGGAGCAATGATTTTTGAACTTTTATATTGAATTTTGTCGTCAGTAAAGATCAACATTGTTTTGAACATTATTTGAACTGATGACAGAAATTTGACGACATTTGTAATCGAGAACTGACACTTATCTGTTAGCTGTGCCGTAGCATTGTAAAATACCGTTGACTTATCCAAATATATGATTAAATGAGGTACGCAGATTTTTTTATTGTCCAATTAAGCGAATAGATCATAACAAACTCTCTTTTATTGCACTTTTCGTCCGTCCTGATGGAAATTTCGAAACAAGGTTGTGACTTTGAGTGAGAAAGTCGGAAGTGAGTAATTCTGACATTTCCAAGGAACTAATCGTAGTTGGCATAGTGAAGGGGTTTCTAGGAAATCGTTTTTTTTTCTGGAAAATTCGGTGTATCTGTCATTGTCCGAAGGAGTAAATAGTTAACTGCACAGTGTAGTATTCAGATTATTAATATTCCACGCAACGCCACTTCCACTTGCTGTTTGTTTTGACAAACTTGTCTGGGTGTGAAAAACATTGAAATAATCCGTTGTTTCTGTGTTTCAAGATTTGGAGAGATGCGGAAACGTCAGTGAATCGTAACCGACATCCGTCAGGCGTATCGAACAGCCCGGGATTGGCGATAAGGCAAGCTAGTGGACTGGCTCCGAAATTTGAGGCTGACCTCGTCGTCCGCACGTCCCCGTCGACGTCGGGCCATTCGACGCTCGCTGGTGGTGACGCTATTTTTTCGGCGTCCCCGGAAGGCGGCAACGTTTACGCCAGCCCAGTGGCGTATGGTCACCAATCCACAATGAGTGCCTGTAGTTCCAGTCCGGAAAGCCCGGAACCGTCCATGGACCTAGGGGATCTCAAGGATTTATAGGGGGGATGTGTCATCATGGAGATAAATTCCTAACTCTGTAGGTTACATTTTTTTCATCTGTTTTGTTTCCAGGTCTTCGTATATTGTTTTGCTGTTAATTACAGTCAAATCTCGATAAGCTGCCACCATTTTTCGTGAGGGTTGTTGTGGTTCAAAGGGGTTGGTGGTTCATAAAAAAACTGAAGTAACACGAAATTGGGCATAATAGAAAATTAAAATTCGTCTTCTTCTAGAAAACAAATAAAAGAACCCTTGGGATGCGTAAATTATATCGAGCTAATGTTCCCAAGAAGTTAATTATTCCATCTCTGTATGTTTTTCAATCAGAAACCTTTCGCAAAACTTGAATCTCCTTGGCGGACAATCGAAGACGAAATCAATTGGCTGGAGCATATTTGAGCTTTAAATTTTGGCGAATGGCGTTTTCGCGGAGTTTCCAATGCTTTTATCATTATTTCATGAGGGGAAATTTTTTTTATAAATCGGTGGTCGGCTAAGGGTGGCGGCTTATCGGGGGCGTTTTGACGGGGGTTGACTGTATTTGTTTTTTAGTTGTTGTGAAGGAAGGATGGGTTGAAGCCGTTTTAGAAATCGTGAAAATCAACCCTGAGGTTGCATTTTTTTCTGCTTTTTTGGGTATTTTCTGAAGCTTTAAATATCGTGAAGAAAGAATTATTTGTGGCTTTAATACGGCCCTACTCTTAAGCGCGAATCTTGAAGAGGGTCAAGTACGACAGATCTGATGGAGGCATTCGAGCTGAGAAGAATATGTCTAATCATGGGAGTAGAAGGAGCTGATTTCTTCGAAATTCCTTTCCTTAATTCGTATTGTCTTGAAGATCTGCCTGAGTATTGTATGTTCGTGACTAAAATCAATCTGTGAAGATCGAAATGGTACCACATTTGATGCGAATACGGATGAGCTTGAGTGAGCGATATTTTTATTCGATGCAATAATAGTGATTGTGTCAACTTCATCAGGAAACGTTTTGTCGTTCATGTTAATGTCTTCCACAACTGTATTTAATTGGCTCAAGTGAGCTGAATTGAGCTTATTTCGATGGTACAAGGTTTTATTAGAAAGGAGTTTTCGCGATGAAACGAGGGAGCAGACGTCGCGCGAATGTTCGGTCAGAAATTCTGTATATATCCGAGGAAAATACTTTTGGCGATTATGCATATTTTGGCATTTGAAGGAATAAAATGTGTGCCTTCATGTCGTGCTTTTCTTCCTGTCTGCGGAATCAATTTTAAGTCGGACTTTCTATGTGTATAGGAAGCTGAAATTCATCCTATGTGGAATTTATTAACCTGACTCAATTGCTTACTCTTAAATTCACTTGCTTTCTGGTTGGATTTTCCTCTGACCGAGTTTGTGGGACGTCCGGACTCAAAGGAGCTTGAAGCCTCAATGTAACTGACTCCGTATGCACAGTATAAATATCGAAGAACCAAAGATCTGAGTTGTTGACAATTGATAATATCTTCTTATGCTTTGCGATCGAAATTACCTTCCAATCAATTTAAATCTATACGTATGCAGGCTATCTTAAGGATATCCAGAATGCAGCCATGGTTTCATTGATCGGATCATCCTTACTTATCATTTTTTTCATGCCTCATTTTGATTTTTGGGATATGTGCAGTATTGGAACTTCGGTAATTTAACATTTTATTGAACTATAGGTATAGTGGGAACAAAGCTGTGGCCAGAATTGCTAGCTGTCCTGCTACAAAATGTAGGACTTAAAAATACAGTACAGTAGAATGAAATTCACTGTATGCGGATGCTTACTATGGCTTAATTTCAAAGGTTTTCTAGCTTCTTATAGGCATGCGTGGGTCTCAATTGTGCATCAATGTGTGTGCAGTACAGTACAGTATTGAAGAAAAATTGATGTACCAATTATGCATTGACAAATTCAGCTACCCTAGCTTAGACCTGCTGATTTTGATCGTTTTGTGAAGAGGAGACCATGCGAAAATCCAATGAAAATTCAATGCAATTGAGTAAATCGTGACATTCCTCGTTTTAGCGGTCGCATTACCCCATGTACCTTATTGAATTTCTTCTTTTCGACTGGCAAACCTGCGAGAGTGCGAGTCCTTTCCGAGAAAAAAACAGTACCTTACTGGTACAGTACTTCAGGTGAAATTAAGTTGCGTTTCTTTTCGGTAGATGATGCTCTTACGCAGTAGATGCCATACGAGTGTGTGGAAACGTGACCGGGGAATTTTGAAGCAATGTATCCACGTTCTTTAACAGCCTCAACGGGAACTGCATCCGACGGGAATTCTAGATATCCTCTCTGACCCTGATGCAACAGAGGAAATCCTCGACAATTCAATCAGCAGTTATTGAATGTTCGTGGTTTTGTTCTTGGAGAGGTGAGTGTATTTAATTCACTGCGTCATCTGCATTGGCTGAGAAATTTTTTCTGCTAACTACAGCATCTGAAATAGAGCTGCATCGTGAGCGGAAACATAAACCTAATTCCATTGAATATTGCAAGACCTCTGGCAGTTCAATTTATAACTCGAGCGCTCGAATCTTCTTATTGAATCGTTGGAAGGAGTTCAGTTTGAGTATATTCTGCTCTTCAGTAACAGGTGAGCATGCATTATAATTGGATTATTCCGTATGTTTATTTTTCAGCCGTAAACCTGTATTCAACTTGAATGAAATGTATTAATCATGTGCATTGATCTCGATCTGCGCCGTTCAACTAAATATTTTTCACTTTTATCGATGGGTTCGGGGCTATTGAACAATGCAGTGAGGATAGAAGTGTAGTGGTGTGAAACTTCTTGACGTTTTCTGCGAGTAGGAGAATGTCCTCCGGAGTTTTTTTTTGTTAGTTCCGCAAAGGCTTATGCGATCTTATCGTATCCTGTCTTGATCGTTGTGTTGTGGAAGCCGAGCTTTTACGCAGGTTGCAGGAACCGTCTCGTTGAAGCATGCAGAAATTAAGAATTTGCATGCCTTCGAAATATAGCGTGTGCTGATTTTTCGACGCGTCTCTTGCAGGATGAAGAGTTCTCGGATTATTTCTATCTTCGCAAGTGTTTGATCACGTACCGGATTGAAAGCAACATGAGTCTTATTTCGCACGGAGCATTCAAAAAGCATTCCAGTGGTATGTGATGGACTGTTCGCTTGAATAATTTACTGTATGAGTGAAGAAACCGTTCTACAAGATTTTTCAGGTTTTCTGGTCTGTAGTATTATTCATCGTTGGCATTTTAACCCGTTTTAGTTGATGGGCGTGACTGGAAACGATTCGATGTCATCCGATTCGCCCAAGATGGCGTCAGTTTTCGCGGCAAGCTCATCGGGGTTCTGGAAGTTGCCGAAGCTCGTGGGGAGAAAATGTGCCAAGAAGCAATGGCCGATCTCAAAATGGCTATAAAAGCTGCCGGGGAACATAAACGCAAAATAATTATTGGAATTGCTCTCGATGGCTTGAGACTGCGGGATGAAAGTTCGAGAGTAAGAAACTATGACTCTTCTGCTAATTTAGGCTATCATTTGACCGCACAAGCCTTTTTTTCCAGGACTGTTTATATCACCATCCCGTGCATAAGATAAGTTTCATTGCACAAGATGCGAACGATAGCAGAGCGTTTGGTTATGTGTTCGGTTCACCAAACTTGGGGCACCGGTTTTTTGGCATTAAAACTGAGAAGAACGCGCAGCAAGTAAGTGAGCAAGCTACCTTATTATTTACTGACTGATCAACCCAAGGATTGATTTCAGGTGGTCCAAACCATACGGGATTTGTTTGAGGTTGTATTCTCTATGAAAAAGAAGGAATTCGAGAAAGCCGACTTCTTTGGAACTTCTTCCCGTCGAGTAAGTCTTATCTCTTTTTTAACTTGCATCTGCGTATTTGACGCGTTTTGAATCTTCGAAGGATTCTGGGAAGCTTGAAAGGAAAGATTCCTCTCACCAAGAACCTTCGGTAGTAGAGTCGAAAAATGTGTCTGACGATCTTTTGAGCATCAACTTGGGTTCCACACTTCCTGCGCGTATTGATCGACGAGAACCAAGTCGTCCGGTGATTCGTACCATGAATTCTGATCCGTTTGGCGATTCATTCAACTTCGGATCTCTTTCTCGCACGGACGTTTCATCTACCTTGGGTGGAAGTACGAGGAGAAGACAAACTCAAAATGGAGCCTCAACCGAACTCATGTTGACCACTTTGCCCCCACCACCACGGAAATCCAGTGCGAAATCCACTTCCATCAAAACTGCGCCGTCTCGAGAAAACACGGGGAACCCTGTTCCGTCTAAAACTGTTCAAAACAATCCTGGTGTTCCGCATGCTACGTCGTTCGGCGTAAACCGGACCAACGATGTGTTGTCAAAAGTGAGGTTTGATGATGAACCACGAACACCTCCTTCACTGGGGCGACCGACAAAGTCTCATGATAAATACGCCGCATTTTTAGAACTGGCACGAGCAGAACAAAGTCCTCCCATTCCTTGTACTTTTAGCAAGGTTTGTAAATGTTCTTCGGAATATCTGAACTGAACTTGCCTCTGAATGCCACGTTTTGCATCGTGACCATCGTCTTGTTTCATGGCTGTTCCGAGCGATGAACCTGGATCAAATTTTTCGTAACGTTTATATGCAGTACTTCGTATTTGGATTGCTGATAGTCCCAAGATCTCCACGCATTGCTTGTTCCCCGGCAGCCACCTGTTAATTCAATGCCACTCAGAATTTTTTGCATGAATTTTCAGCACGGTTTTGCGTTTCACAGCAGTGCATGTGCACAACAGTCGCGAAGGTTGTCGCATGTCGTTATGCGTTGCGTTTAGTAGTACACCCTGGTGAGAAATCTCATCATTCCCCAATTTTTTTATGATCAAAATTGAGGCTGTCTGGAACGGTCACGAATTTTTCCTTGCGTTATTGCCGTTACGTGACCCTTATCTTCTTCTGTTTCGTGGTTTTCAGTTCTCGATGTGTACGAGGGGATGATCGCAGAATTTTCACGTATTGTCATGACACATTTGCTGCATCGTGATTGCCCTGTGCCGCACGAAATCGTCTGAGTTCAGTTGTTTGTTTTAGGTCTGTTTGAGTTCTTTTTCACGATTCCCGCCTTGGAACGTTTTCATGTGGAATTTGTGTGAATAATATTTTCAATTTTTCAGGCGACGCTGGCTGATTTCGGATGGTCCTTTCATGATACTCAAAGACCACAGGATTTCGCTGATGGAAGCGAAAGAGTTGCAGAACAAAAACAGAATTCCGGTCGTGTGTTCGCGAATTTTGCATGTGCCAAACCCATTCCGGAACCAGAGCAGCGATGTCCAAGCCCCGCGGGCAGAAATGCTTTCGCGGACGATTTTGGCCCTTCGGAATTCTCGTCGCGTGGAAGTCTCCTGGGAACTTTTCCGGAAAAGTTGGTTTCTTCTGGGCTATCGAAGGCTGAAGATTCGTTTCTAGCCAGGTGGGAGAATCTATCTTTATCCAATGCCGAATCAAAGCCAGACGAGGAATCCGTTGTTTCTGTTCCTGAATCTCCGCGAGTGTTGCAGAACATTAGTTTCGAACAGCGCGAAGAAAGTGAGCGGCCAGTGGAAAGTCTAGCGAGCAGTATGGGTGGACGAATGTTTCAAAGATCGTATACGATCGGTGGTGTAGAAAAACTGCCGCCTCCGATTGTACATTGCCTAAAAAGTATGGGGAAATCCGAAGAAATCGGTTCGATGATCTGTGAATCGCGAACTGTGGATGAACCCGCATCTACCGAAGAACCCTTCTCGAAAGATTTCATGACCATGGAGGGCAATGAGAAGTTGTCATCGTCGTGGTCTCTTCAAGGCGAAGGAACATCGATCTGTCCCCAGAATGATGACGTTTCCGAAGACGATGTCGGGAAATCCCTTCCGGCAAGTGAATTGACCGAAGGAAATGACGTCACAGCCAATGATTCTACTCTGAACGAAGATTTTAACGGCTTGGAATCATGGACTGATATGGACAAGTTTTCCACGGCGCAGGATATTTCTGACGTTGACGAAGACGACACGTTGCGCGACGGTGTCAGTCACCTTGATCACCTCGATTCCATGCATACTGCTGCCCCATCGTTTGTGTATGAAGGAGATTTTTTGAGTGCGAATGAAGCCCTAAGTCCTGAACCGGATATTACGTTCCCGAGTGTTACGTCGGGTGCATCATTGCAGGACGTTTCGCAAATCGCGAGTGATTACGCTGATAAGCCCAAGGAAGCTGAAGATTCCAGCGAAGCATCCGATTCGGAAACGTTTCAAGTTGATAATCCGTCTAAAATTGTGTCTAATGATGAATCTTCCACTTATGCTACGTGTCGTGAATCAGATTCGAACCCCACTGTTGCCGAGGATGCCGACGCCGTAACCGTCAAAGATGAACCTGAAGTACATCCAATAAGCGTGAAAACAGAAGAAAAAGTTCCTGAAGTACCTGATAAAACTGCGGAAGATCAGTTGCCCAAACCCGCGGAAGTGCCGCCATGGATGCCCGATAACCCGTATCTTACGTCAATGATGCCCCCGATGTTTCCGCCGTTTATGCCGCCATTCGCGATGCCGCCATGCAACATGCCCCCGGGCTCTGTAGATACGGAAGGGCAACAGAAACAAGCCCAAGAAGCATTTTGGAGGAATTATCAGCAATGGCTTTCTGCTGGCGCTTATTTTCAGCAGTGGGGATGGATGATGGAACGTGGAATGGGGGGCAATGCTCCCGGAATGCCGCCGTTTTGCCCACCTCCCATGTTTGGGCCTCCACCGCCGCCTCCGTCGACGGCCATGTATTGTCCTCCCATGGGATCCATACCAGCACCACCACCACCGCCACCGAGAACTGCGGATTGGTATCAGAGAGTCTGGAACCGAGAACAAGATCAACGTCCAAATTCCGCGTTAGAATTCTGCGGATTCCAGCCCCGGGGCATGGAGCGAATGGAACGCGGGTACCTATCACCTTCGAAGCGATCGCACATGAGTGATGACAGGCTTTACGAATCCGCTTTGAATTGGCCGTGGCAACAGCATCAGCAGCACGAACCAGGTTCTCGCATGGTTTCTGGACAAAAGCACTATCAGACTTACAACCCGCGCATCTCTGGGAAGAGAGAGTTCACCAGCTTGCCCGACACGGGACATGAAGTGAATTCGCCGCCACCCGCGTTGCCACCTCGTTCTGGTCGACAGATGCCTCGATCCGCTCCAAAAGCAGAATTACCGAAATCTTTGCTCGCGAATCGCGAAGTTACTTTGCCTGATGTGGACGATGCCTGGCGAACTTTCCCCAGCACGTCACCTCTGGGATTTGAGGCGAAGAAAGAGGCCCCAGAAGGCTTCGAAACGAGTTTCGATTCAAATTTCTGTGCAGCAAATCAAAAAGGAGGCGAAGAATCTGATCCGTGGAACGCAAAAGCTGTGGCTGGCCAGTCGCCATTGAAGCATTCAACTTCAGTGAGCATTTTCCGCCATGAGGAGGATCCATTTCGTGATGAATTTTTCGAATCTGAAGCCTGTTCTTCTGCCACCGTCGCTGAAAGACCAGAAGAGAATAGCGACGATGAGGATAATTGGAAAGCGTCATTTCAGCCGTTTGACTTTTCAAAATTTTCTTAACCGGCTCAGATCATTCCGTAGATGTGAGTCGGCATTTTTCTTACGCGATCTGATAGCTGTGAATTCTGTTCCAAGTGCGTATTGTTGTACTTCTGCACCTCGACATTGATTTTTTCGTCTAATGATTATGCTTTCGTTCGGAAAACATGTTCCTAGTCAGTTAGTGATGAAAAATTCTGAGGCTTACCGCTCTTGCCAACATCACGATCCTAGTCTCTCAGTTGAACTATACAGAGGCAACCGATTCTAGTCGAATAGATTGTTTTCTGGCTTAGCATCAGTCGAGTCTGTGATGTACGTTTCAAGCACGAAGAAGTTGAAATTATCTCGTTGCGGATCATTCCTTTTCCTTCAAGATTGCCGTGCGATATTGTGCTTTATCGTTGGGCCTGTTTCATTGAGTTACTGTATTTTATCGCTTTTTCCTTGTGCCATCCAGAGGACCACTTTTTTTGGAAATCCATCTCAATGACCATACAGTGTTATGCTGCTGGAAATTTTAGTTCCATGGCGAAACTAAGCCTGCGAAATGTATCCAATATTGAATGTGCTATACTATTCCGTCTTGAAGTGACATCGAGTGGGAATAACGTGCTCCTTCATTGAATTCCGCTTGTGTAGTCCGACAAATCAAGGGACGGTCTGAGGGAACATAAAGGGTGACCTAGAAAATTTTGAGTTCATTTTCAGACCAAAATATCTCAAATGAAGCGAAGGGTAAACGGATGCAGTTTGACTCGAATTAAATACTGCTCTTTGAAAGTTCATGAATTTACAATATATTTGAATCCCAAGCGATCTTTTCAGTGTTCTTAATTCTGGGATACTGTATTGGGTTCATGTAATGACAAATTGAGCTTAGATGCCGATTCTTTGCTTTTGCTGGTTTTTGAGTATTGTTCTCTCATGATGTTTTCTGAATTTTGAAGGCCACCATAGACATGCTTGAATGTTTCAAGGTATACTACTTCACGCATCGTACAAGCATCGTTATTCAAAACTATCTCGAAAATTAAATTTTTCTGGTGGTATGATGATGCGAAATTTTCGGTTCGGCTAGTGCGAAACGGGGCATTTTTTTCATACATGACATGAGCTATGGATAAGATGATCTGTATCTGACAATTGATTGAAGTTTTAGAAATGTGCAGCTGAAAGACAAAATTTGATGTTCTGAATCGTGCCGTGGAGAATAGTTGAGAGCTATGAGCGAAGTCAGATCAGTCGATGCGACTGGATTCCTAAATCATAAGATGTTTTCTGTGCAAGTGGAATTTATTTTGAAATGAGCATGAGGAAGAGTAACGCTGCTTACGGGATTTGAATGTGTTCGAACGGGGAAATGCATTATGTTCGTGAGTGGTGCGTGTGTCTTACAAGTTCAGATCACTAGTCAAAACGATCATTTGATGACTTTTCGAAATTCTGGCAGATCTTTTTTTTCTGTGAGTGAATTGGAAGATGGCTGAACAAGATGATTCGTGGCGCACTCCAGCGTTGCGCCAAAAGGTGCTCAGCGAAATGTGAGTCTAATTTTTTGAATTCGTTGCCAAAAGAAATTTGAAATTTTACTCAATATGTGGAAAATGAAAGTTATTCAACAATCCGTTTTGGCTGTGTTTTCGGACTGAAATATAAATTCTTTTCATTTCTGGAGCCTGCCGTTGAACTCAATGTCGATAAATTATAACGATTGATTACTGTGTGAATTATGACTAAAAACTAAAAAAACATGGCAAGCGGAGTTCAATTTTCTCAGAAAAATCTGATTCAAGTTCAATCATGTTGCTCGTTTTCTGTGGGTGACCAATATTGTATTCACTCGAGTCGAGTTTCGAGAGGTATACAGTATTGTACAGTACTTTTTTGAAGATTGCTGTTTTCTCTTTTCGATTATCTTGAGAGGCTCGAATGTCAAGCATGATGAATTCTAAAAATTCTTTGCTTTCAGCGATGAAGTCATCAATGCATCTGGCAATCCGGCGGGAAAATCAAGCCAAGACATGGAGAATCACATTTTTCAAAAAGCGTCTAGCCGGGAAGAGTATCTCAGCTTTGTGGCCCGCGTTATCATACATATGCGAGAAATGAATGACAGAAGCATGAGTGAGCATATGTTTTTCATAGGATTGAACATTGCTGTAATGTGTACAAAAATGACATCAAAAACCGATGACGACTTCTTTCTTTGAGCCTAAAAATTAGAAACATTTTTGATATTTTTTTTGCATTTTGGGAAAAAATTGAGTGATTCCCCATGGAAGTCGTGATTTGTAATATAAAAAAATCATTCAACGAATGTAGTGCTTGCCTAAATTACGTTCATTGTGATTTGTGCAAGGTTGCAACATTTAATGACAAGATATTTCTAAGTGAATCCTCTCCTCCTGTGTGATCGCATTTGAGTTTCCTGCTTTATTTTATGGGAATGTCAACTCTGAATTTTTTGTTGAGATAATATTTAAACGCAAGTTGAGGGGAAGTGTTGGATTAGTAAGGTCAGCAGTAGGAATAACTTCAAAGTCTGATGCTGGAGTCAGAAGCGAGTAACGATAACGTAATCGTGGGTATCCTCAATTTTCTATGCTTGTTTTGCAAGAATCTGTTTATTCCCAGCATCACTATGAACATTGTATTTTTGCTGAAGGTGCAAGTAATCCTCATCTTGCTGCTGCATTGAATGCACCCAACTCTTCTGGAACTGGAGACATGTGGAATACTGGCGGGAACAATCCTGGTGGTCAGGTTGCTGGTCAGGGAGTGATGGTTGGGCAAATGAGCATGTTGCAGAACCAGTTGGGCGGTGGTGTGCAGAATACGCAGGGTGGCCAGTCGATGTTGCAAAGTCAGCTCAATCAGCCTATGCACCGGGGACCTATGCAGCATCCAATGCGAATGAACGCCAATCCCATGATGAATCAAGGCCCAGGGGTACGTCGCTTTTTCCATCTCCCTGAGAGCTACCTTCATTGGTGTATTGAAATTATATCATCACTGTATTCAGTCAAATCTTGATGAGCCACCACCGTTTTTTTTTGTGAGCTTTGTGGCAGTTTAAAGAAAGCCAAAATATTACAAAAGTACAGTTGCACCTCAATAACTTGGACCTCCCTATGTCGATTTTTTTTTCTGTCCAAGTCCCTGTCTGAATCCTTTTGGGATGCATTAAAAAACTCCCTAACTCAAAGGTTTTCCCCCGTCAAACCTCTGTAACTTGAATTTCATGGAGGCCTTCTGTCCATTACAGTATTTTATTGACACATGAAAGAGGTAAGTTATGAAAATGTAACTTGATGATTTCTGAAATGAAGCGAAAGACTATTGGCAAAAAAACCCCTTGCCTCCAAGTTTAGAATCATGTCAACTCATTAAAGAAGCAATTTAAACCCAGAATATGAACAATTACAAGTTCCTGTGATTCTTCTTCCTTTCCCCTATTGAAAATGCTTGTTTCTCTTACTAGCAACCTGTCTCACTCAGAATTTTTTTTTTTGCTGTTCCCTTAAAGTCTGACTTACAGAGGGTTGACTCAATGGCTGTGATTCTTATTATTCTTGAGAACAATCGGAGTAACCCTGCGATCCGTAATTTAGAAATAGCTAATGATCCCAATAGGTAAATTACGTCATCTTAGTGTGTGCGTTTTTTTTAATCGGAGACCTCGTACAGAAATTCGAATGACATAGGCGGGGTATCAAAGAAAAATTTTAATTGGCTAAAGAATATTTGAGTTATTATTAAGTTTGGCGATTGGCGGTTCAACGTTTCCGAATTTGTTACTGAATCAATATGGAAGAACGGTTTTTCAAAATGAATTGAAGAATGCTCAGGAAGGTGGCTTCTCAGGGAGCGTCTGAACAAGGTTTAACTTCATTTGTGTTGATGCATAAAGATGAGGGCATTTATGCATTTGTTGAATGGAGATCTTCGGAACTGTATGCCTCTCTTTTCGGATGTCTTTTGCCAGGGTGTAAGTCAGCTCCAAAATCAGCTGAGTCAACCCAGTCAATTGCACGCTAGGCTGACGCAGCCATCGCAACTTCAGTCACAGTTGCAATCAGGAATGGACGGTTCGGGGGGAATGAGAATGCAAATTCAAACTCAACCGCAGCAAGGTCCGGGCCAAATGGTTGGTTCACAGCTTCAAAATCAGCTTAGCCAGCCACCCCGTGGAATGAATGTCCCTATGGGGACAACCCAGTTTATTGGTCAAAATGTTGTACGTGGGCCCGGGGCCATGATGCCGCAGTCTGGCCGTGAGTTACCATTTGATTTGCTTAATTGCATGCGCGGTATTGTTCTGGAAAACCGTTTTCTGATAAAAATGTTTCTTGTACTGCGTACTGTATGTAAAATGGAATATCATTACAGCAAATCTCATAACGAGTCACTGTTCACAACGAAGTCGTTCTTGAGGTCCATGCCTAATGATAGTACAGTAATGTTATTCAATTTGCTTATTAACGAAGCTTTTTTCCCGGTCCGAGCGACTTCTTTATCACGTGATTTTACTGTAGTGGAATCTTGGTGTGAAAAGTCTTCAAAATGACGTTTTTTTGCGTTGAAAAAGTGATTTTGTTTGTTTGTTTTCGAATCGTTACTTAGCGATGAGACCAACAAGAGCTCGAATGCCTGCCGGTATGCGTGGAGTTCAGCAGATGAATGTTATGGGACCGAGGCCGGCTGGTCAAGTTCCACAAATGCAACACATGCCACGTCAGCAACAAATGAAGGTGAAACTTCTCATGATTAAATGTTTTCGGGTTTTGAAAAATATTGAATTCTTGAAATGATTTGAAACTCGTATAAATGCAATATGATACTGACTTTAGAGTATAAAATACTAAATTTTGCATTCCCTTTGTTGGTCCCATGGTCAAGAATAGCTACCACATGTTGTTCACGTGTACAACCATTGGGATGTATTACTGGACTTTTGTATACTGTGCAACAATCTTGTCTAAAAGGATTTTCGCTGCATGACGATTTTTTTTTCCTTGAGCATAGGGGTCTCTCAACGAATTTTTCTGCACCCGTGATAGGTAGTCCGTGCGTTGGAAATCTAATGGAAAGCTACTAGTGTAACATTTGTTGTTCGTTTTGATCGACGGAACATTCCTTGTTAATGTTTTGTCAGCCTGACAGTTTGATGGGAATGATGGGAGGAAATGTGAATGTCAGCTCTCAACCGATGAACATGGGCAACACTCCGCAGCCGATGTACGCAACTGCTCAAGGTGGGCCGCGACCGATAATGATGAATGCCACAAGTGCAGGAGACAAAGCCAGCACCATGGGTATGATGCCCAATATGTCACCTCAGTCGCAGGTTTCTTCTGGCATGCATATGTGAGTTATCCTAATAATGCATTCCGCTATTCGTCTTCGTGTTCAAGTTGGTAACGATTTTGCGACGTTTACAAGATTCTAAAATGAATACGTGCAAGGTTTGATCATCATACGGTTACTGACGACGAATTCGGAAAACGCGTAGATGACTTATCGAAGTCTGTCTTGCAATTTTTTAATCGTCTTTACTCCGTGAAACCGAAGAATTGCTTCCTTGAACTCTTATTTTTTGAATTAAATTGTGTGAATAATTATGCAAATGAATATTCAATTACCCGTATTCACTCGATTACCACGCACCCTTGAGTGAGACACGCACCATGGTTTTGCATTTGGGAATTTCAATAAAATCTTATCTCCAAATAAGATGCAGATTTTTACTGATTCTAAAGCCACACTATTTCGAAAATAAGAGCACCAAATTTAAATTCAGACATAAATTTGACTTTATTTTTTATTTTTTTCCGTCAAAATATGTTTATCTGATGGAATTTTTAGAAAATTCTCATTAGAATCAAGGATAATGCACACATAAATTTGTAAAAGTTTTTGGAAAATGTATACCTGCCTATGACGCGCAACCCCCGTACCCCTCACTATAATTTTGAGGAAAAAGTGCTCGTGGTAACTGAGTGAATACATTGTCATTTTACAAGTCAATCAACTCGTAACGCATTTTTCAGGCAACAGGTCAATTCTCCTATGGTTCCATCGCCGTCGCTTCATGTTGTTTCTTCACCGATGCCTCAGCCCCAAAGACGTGAGAATTATTTGAAATGCTGAGTGGTTTTTCTTGAATTTCCAATTCGATTTTTTATGTTTACAGCTGGGTATCAAGGTTCGACGATGCAAGGAAACGTGCCAATTAATGCCGGTGGTCCTGGAATCATCAGACCTTCTGTGCCGGAAGATTCTCCGTATCTGGAAAAAATACGACAATTGAGCAAGTTTGTTGAACCGCTTCAACGGATGATTGCAAAGCTGGATGACGACGGTGCGTCTCGGAAGTATTCATATTGTATTTGTTTAATTTTTCGTTTGTTGATCCAGATACTGACAAGATGACGAAAATGAAAAAGCTGATGGATATTTTGACGAATCCAAATACACAAGTTCCAATGGATACCTTATTGAAGTGCGAGCAAGTGTTGGAGAAAATTGTGTTCAGCAAAGGGGTACGTGTTGAGAAGTTATATTTTTGTCTTCTGCGATTTATTCTTCAACTGCTCATCACCACATTCATTTTCAAGTGTAAGATAACGCGTATTAGAAATTTCTGCTGTGAAATTTCTAATACCGAAAGAATGAAATTAACATTCGTTTATTGAAACTCTGAGGAAGTGAACTTATGTAATTTTATTTTTTGATTGACAATGCATCAATGCCTCCTCCTGGACTAGAAGGTTTTCTGTGGGCAAAACATGGCAAGCCCCAGCTTGGGCATCATTGACAACCTTCAAACAATTTTGATAGCTGATCTGTTCGTACAGTAAATTTGGCGTTGCAGGAAGTATGAAGCTCTAATCAAAATGTATCTAGCTTTATTTTAGGTTTTCGAAGTGGCTAATTAAAAAATGTTTGAACGGACACTACTCTGTTTCAGGGAAAATTCCATTGTTGATGAATACATTTTAAAAGAGAATTGTTCATGTATTTTGAATTTGCTCTGTTTCATCAGAAGTTGTGAATGATGTTAATTCTTCGTACGTCTGTCGTGGAAGTAATAAATTTTTTTGTACCTGTTTCTCGTAAAATTTCAGTACTGTAAATGCTCAAAGAATCAAGAATCTCATTATAACGAATTTTCAGTCATTAATAATTTTTCTAGGGCTCTTGGATTTCATTGTGGCGAGATTTTACTGTACTTGAATCAGACCTGACTGTTCATGTTTCTATAGGAAATGATTGGACCGAGTGGGCCAGGAAGTGTGCCACCACCTCTCTCGGCAGCTACTCCAACATCCATAGCTGGTCCACCATCTGTGCCTACACTCGAACCGACAGCCGGTCCCCCGAGCAACCTTCCGTCACTTGGCAGTGTACCTACTCCGGGTCCCTCGCAACCCAATTCTGCTCCACCACCATCCTCCACTGCGGGTGGGGGTCCACCTAATGCTGCACCAAATGCTGGTGTCCAGGGCCCACCGATGGATAAAGCTTCGAGTGGTGGTGCTGGTGGTCCTCCAGCTGTACTAGCGCCACCGCCGAATCTCCCGAATATGATGACGAGGGATCAGCAAGTTTTATTCGGTCCACTCCTGGAAACAATTGCGAGCACTTTGAAATCGCAGTTCTTCAATCATACTATGGAGAGGACTTTCGGACAGTGCATGGAAGCGCTGTTCGGACCTGAAATTAGGTACCGTATACAGTAATACAAAATACTGTAAGTCGGTTGTTTTGGCTTTTTGATTATGCACATTTTGTACAGTATTTTACTCTGACGTCTGTTCGAAGAAAATCTTCTGACTGGTTATCAAAAATATCCCTGCAAGGCTAAATAAAGTTTTGGTTTGTTTTCGTTTTTGTTTGATCGTTATTCCTAAATGTTTTGACTCACTTTTGAGTGTCCATGAGGACGGGCTTATTTTAATGATTGGGAGATCATTTCACGTTGGAAAACCGAGTTATTCTATTGAACATATTTTTCATTTGGAGGTCGGGGTTTCGAAAAGTTCCACGCGGCAGTGAACGTTTTTAAATACTGTGTAATATCAATGGAACCTGCTGATTTGTTGAAATCTTTCGACAGATTGCCAGAAAGGACAACCGTTTCTTTCGAAGATACGCTCTCCGACGATGAAAGCGAAGATACCGTGATGCTTGGTGGAGATGAATGTGATGATTTCGAGAGGTCAGATATTCCGGATGCTTTGCGAAGAGAGATCTGCGGAAAGGATCCCGAGCAGTACAGCTTTAAACGGATCCAAGATCTCGAATTCCCGTCCGGGCACATAGTAGTGGAGTGTCACTTGCTGGACTCGAAAGCTCCACTTGTTCCGCCGATTCTAATATACGTTCCGAGGAATTACCCGGAGGATTCCCCGCCGTTTTGCAATTCTGAATTACCTGGATATGGTGAGTTATTTGTGGTACCCCTTTTGGTCCCGCGAACTGTCGTCCGGAGAAGCATTGATGGGCACTAATCTTTTCTCTTCACACCTCAGCTATAATCATCCTCATTCGCTGATGACTACTAAACCGTCGTCAGATAGTTTCACGATTGACATTTTTTGTTACTTTACAGATAAATCGACGTATCTACTGAACGTGAAGAAGGACATGCTCGATCGATTGAAGAAGCTTCCAGAGAGGAACACGTTATCTCATATATTGCACGTTTGGGAGATGTCCGTGAGACATGCAGCAAGCGTACCGATGTGGCTATCGAATATTCACGAAGGATCAAAAGCAAAATTGTTTGGAAAAGTTTGAATCGAAACTGAATTATTTTGTTTTTGAAAATGTTCCGAATTTGATGAATTATTTTTTTGGATGATACAATGCTCACAGAAAGTGTAAAAAATGTTTGATTTTATTTTCGAAAATGAATGCTCTCTGAAAATGCGTGAGGGAACTAGGTGGTATAGCATGTAGGGATTGTATTCATCTCTTATATTTTTTCGCAGTCGCTTTCGAATGAATTTTTAAGTGAGACGAGTGTTGCGTGATGGGAGAGGACGCGGAGGAATTCAAGAAGCCCCATCGTGCCCGGAGCGCAGGTTCGTTTTCTAGTCCATCAATTGTGTAGATTTCCGAATTTTGTTTCTACTTCTGCGTGGTTTAGGCAAAAAGGCGCAGAAGAAAAAGGAGAAAGGTCAAGACAAGAAATCACTGAAGCATGATCCTACAACTGCCAAAGAGCGGAACCCGAAAGCATTTTCCTTTCAGTCCTCAGTCAGCGCCGAACGCCAGTTCAGAAGGTGAGAGACGTCCTTTCATTCTCATTGTGGAAGAGGATCAGTTTTTCGAATTCCCGTTTATGATTTTTTTCATTTGTGTGAATGCTGTGACCCTATATTAAAGTTGAAGCTTTCCTCCCATTCCAGGACTCAAGACTTGGACACAAAAAAGCAACATGCCCCGCTGATTGATCGAACTCCTTTAGAACCTCCACCAATTGTTGTGGCGATTGTTGGACCACCGAAAGTCGGCAAAAGCACGCTTGCAAAGTGCTTAATCAAGAACTTCACGAAGCAAAATGTGACCTCAATCAAGGGCCCCGTAACGCTGGTTTCAGGTTTGTAAGAATTCACGTTCATTGTGAAGTTCACTGTAACGTTATTTTTGCAGGAAAGAAACGTCGTCTGACGATTATCGAATGCAACAACGACATCAATTCCATGATCGACATTGCTAAAATTGCTGATTTGGTTTTACTTCTTGTGGATGCATGGTTCGGATTCGAGATGGAAACTTTCGAGTTTCTGAATATTTGTCAGGTAAAGCATTGCAGCTGGAACCATTTCATTTCTTTGAGTCAAATTACAACATATTTTTTGCTTTATGAACCTGTTTCTTTTTATGATTTCCATAGGTTCATGGGTTTCCGAGAATCATGGGAGTTCTGACTCATCTGGATTATTTCAAGCAGAATAAACAGCTGAGAAAAACCAAGAAAACTTTGAAGCACAGATTTTGGACTGAAGTTTATGCTGGGGCGAAGCTTTTCTATTTATCTGGCATGGTTCATGGAGAATACCAACGTATGGAGGTCAAGAATTTGGGTAGATTCATTTCTGTCATGAAATTTCGTCCGATTTCGTGGAGAAATCAACATCCCTATGTGTTGGGTGAGAAAGAACGTGGCTGACGAAGGGATATTCTTTCCCTTACAACCTTACAATCTTTTTTATCACAGCAGCTAAATTTAAATTTAAAGGAGGCTTAAATTATAACTTAGATTTTCATGGCAATGCGCGTCTTTCATCAATCGTCATATCTTCTTTGAAAAATTGATAATGCCACGAATTCAACGCAATGTAACGAAACTATGTTTCTGAAATATTTCAGCGGATCGCATGGAAGACAACACGGAAGTTGAACTCATTCGAAAAAACCCGAAATGTGACAGAAACGTTTGTTTTTATGGCTATCTCCGGGGGATTCATCTGAAACCAGACATGGGTGTTCACATACCTGGTGTCGGGGATTTCATCATGGATGATGTTTCCAAACTTCCCGACCCATGTGGTCTTCCAAACACGGGCGACAAGAAAATGAAGCGGTCTCTCAATGAGAGAGAAAAGCTAGTCTATGCTCCCATGTCGGGTATGACAGGTGTTGTGTACGATAAAGACGCTGTTTACGTCGATTTGAAGAAATCCGGAAACGCCGAAGCGACACATTCAGAAGCAAAGTCTCTGGTTGAAACGATGCAGGGGCAGAAGGAGACCTTGGATACTAAACTGGAGGAAGCCACCATGCGAATCTTCTCGTCGGACGTGCCGCTCTTGTCAAACGAGGTCCAATACGAAGAGGAAGACAGTTCTCCGAGTTCCGGAATTTGTGAAGAAATCATCGCCGCGGACGATGGGCGGCGAAGGCGGAAAGTCATATTTAATGACGAAGACGTGTCTAACGAGGACAGCGGTGAAGAAGATAGTGAATCCGATAATGATGACTGGGATAATGAGAATCCCCGTATGAAGTCACGGGAAGATTCGGATGCCGATGAAGAACTCGCTTTCAGCGGAGAAGATTCCGATGACGACGATGATGACGACAATGATGATGATGATGACGACAATGACAACGATGGGATTTTGAAGTGGAAAGAAAATCTGAAAGAAAAAGCGTCCAAATCCTTTCATCAGCGTCAGGCGACTAGTGCAAACCTGCAAAAACTTGTTTACGGGTTGATCAGTCAGACCAACGGAGTCGCGGAAGCAGAAGAATCAGACGACGAAGGTGAACTGGGCGGTCTGTTCCGCGTTTCCAAGCCGGGAAAATTGAAATTACCAAAATCTGGACCCTGGGACGAAATCGACTGTTCCGTGTATACCCCCGCTGGTACGAAAGACGTTGTCAGTCGAGATTGGTCCAACGAAGAAGTTCGCGAATCGATCAAAGATTGCTTTGTGACCGGGCAATGGAAATCACACGAAGATGCTCGAAGTCTGTTGAAAATGGACGATGACGAAGAGGTTTTTGGCGATTTTGAAGATCTGCAAACGGGAGAAGTCGTGAAAGCTGAAGACGAAGGCATGCGAGTTGTGGAAGATAAGCCTGAAATGGAGAAAACCGCTGCGGAAAAACGTCTAGAAAAAAAGAGAAAACTGAAGGAGATGTTTGACGCCGAGTACGACGATAAAGATCCTGCCGGGACTTATTTCGACGACTTGAAAAAACAAATGGAAATGCAAGCCCAGGTTTGTTTTAAGGATATCTTTTCCTGATAAATTTGTCTATTTTTATCGTATAACTTTTTGAAAATTCGAATCACACCAAAATACAATCTTCTCTAGAGACATTTTATGAAATTGCAGTGCCTCGACTAGAAATGGGATTGCAGTACGTCTTTCAAGTGCTATCAACGGTCACTCAATGTTTACGAATCCAATCTACAAAATATAAATGAAACTTGAAATTTCCAGGAATCTCAGGTTGAGCAATGAAAAACCCCACCTGAAAATAATTCCGATACATTTTTTCCGCAGATGAATCGAGCAGAATTCGAAGGCATGGACGAAAATTTAAGACTTCAGTTCGAAGGATATCGTCCCGGTCTCTACATTAGAATTGAGTTGAAAGGAGTGCCTTGCGAATTTGTGGAACATTTTGATCCCACATATCCTGTTGTAATTGGTGGTCTCATTTCTGGGGAGGAGAACACGGGATACGTGAGAGTGAGAATCAAGAAGCATCGATGGCACAAGAAGATATTGAAATCCAGGGATCCGTTGATCATATCTCTCGGATGGAGACGCTTTCAAACGATGCCTATATTCTCAGCTCAGGATGTAGGTCTGCGGAACAGGTGTGTGTCGAAGTTTTTGACTGTTTCGAGGAAGTTAACGAATTTGCACGCTCGTATCCACATGTTTTAGAGTTCATGTTCAGTTATATTTGAGTTTCTAAGGAAAATTCAAGAAGTACCGTATCATGCACTCCGAGAACTAACTTTTCCGGCGATGGAAGAGGGAAGCATTAAATAGGCTTCTGTGTAACAAATCTCAAAAGATTTGAAAACTTCATTAGGTTCCGCATAATAAGCCTGCAAAGAAAGTTTCACTAAAAATTATTTTTTTGATTGAGTTCAGTGCCATCCTGTATGTTTTTTTGTTCTGTTGTTTCTAAGTTTCTTTCTTTTTTTTCAGACAGCGATGCGAGTAAATCTAACTATTAATCAGTTTTAACATTGTTCGAGACACGAATTTGCTCAGAACACACGCAATTTTCACAATATTTCTTAGCGTGAATCGGAATGCAGTGGAAGTTTCTAGAATGGGTTAGGTTATTGATGTGGGTGTCCAGTGTAGTTTACAGTTCGTTGGATAAATTAATGGATACAACGAAAGCATTCTATGCTTTGAATCTATTTGATTTAAAGTTGAAATATACTTGAATAGCCTTTTATATTCTTTAAGCGAAGGAGGTGCTTTGGTTGGTTGGGACTAGTTTTTTTCGTGAGAAATTCAAGTCAGTTGGTCTGCAGAGTTTTTTCGCTCTATAAATGTTCCGATTTCCGTACATGGCATTGATGTACAGCACATTATTTGACTGCCATTTACCATGACGTTGAACTGGTCTCAGTGACATCATTCCCAGAATTTATTTTGAGTCAAAAAGATCGAAAGAAGTACAGTGCAATTTTTTCACTGTTCGGGCCGTTTTTCGATATACTGTACAATACTGTACTTCTGTATTTCGGATCGTGCATATGCATGGCCAGAACGTGAATGTAACTAAACCGTTCCATTTTCTTTCGTTAGGATGCTGAAATACACTCCTGAGCACGTTCACTGCTACGCACATTTCTGGGGACCGGTTACACCTCAGAATCAAGGATTTCTTGCTTTTCAATCGCTAGAAGGCCGCCAGGTGAGAAATTCAGTACCCTTTGGAGTATTTTTCATTCCTCTAGGACAATTTTACACGTGTTGACCACATGGATGGCTTGTCTTAGGCACATTTTCGGATTGCTGCGACAGGAGCTGTGATGGATCTAGACAAAACTGCAGCTGTGGTCAAGAAGTTGAAGCTCGTCGGTACCCCGTTGAAGGTTTACAAGAAAACTGCTTTCATCCGGGGAATGTTCACCACGTGCTTAGAGGCAGCGAAATTTGAAGGAGCTGCGATTAAGTCCGTGTCTGGCATCCGAGGTCAAATAAAGAAGGCTTGCAAAAATCCACTGGGCGCGGTTCGTGCAACTTTCGAAGATAAAATCCTCCTTTCAGGCGAGTAAAATATTATATTCGAGATCCATTGTCAAAATTTTTCATTCCGTTGTGTGTCGGTAGGATTCATTCACCCTGAACAGCGTACCTTCGCAAAGAAAAAAAAAAACCACAAGATAAAAGTGCAACAACAAGATAAAACATGACCATATTTATTCCAGTACCCCGCGTCTCTGAGCAAGACACGGATCCCATAGTAAATGAAAAATGTAACACTGTTTTTCAAAAATAAGAGACGCCAGGATGCAACTTGGGACATGAATTCAACTCAATTTAATTTCCAAGTTTTTTATGCTTTTTAAGAAGTTCCTGCCGAAAATGTCTGATTACTGTATTTTCCATTGTGACGCTCACTTCCCTCAACCTTCAAAACTTTTTTGACAATTTTATCCCCGATCATGATGCGCAGCCCTTTTTTTCTTCTGAATTTTGAGAAAAGAAAAGTTGTGCGTGGCATTTGAGTGAAGACGTTCTTTTACAACTTCGGGTGATGTGCTTGGTAAATAAATTCCTGCTGGTCATTGTATACTTCGTTCGGAAAAACATTAAAATGAACTAGCTTATCCTAAATTTAACTGCATAGTGTCTGACTTAGCGAAACCATTTCGCATCCATTTCTTTTTCGTGCTTCTGTTCTTGCCTTCGAACGTTGTGGGACGTGCTAAATTTGGAACTCCAGATTCCTGTGGTTATATCGCTGCCCACACGGACAATGGTTTTTATGTCTCACGAGCATGACAGTGTTCGTTGTGCAAGATCAGACGTTCATGATGTGTTACTTATAATCCGTTTTTTCCTCCCCGCAGACATAGTATTCGTGAGAACCTGGTACGAAGTGACAGTTCCGAAATTCTACGCCCCGCTTCAAACGCTTTGTTTGGCACCCAGCGAAAGGACCAAGTGGCAAGGAATGCGAACTGTTCGGGAAATCAAACGCGAAAGAGGCATCAAAGCTGAACCAAATCCTGACAACTTATACACGGTTTGCTTTCTAAAATACTTGGGAAGTGAACCACTGCTTGATATTAATTGTATTTCGTTTTCAGCCTATTGAAAGAACGCTCAAGCAATTGCCTCGCTGGACGATCCCGAAATCGCTTCAACGACAAGTCCCGTATAAGGACAAACCGAAATATGCCCCGAGTAACCCGGGGATTCCAGTCGAGAAAAAGAGAATCGCTGTGATACGTGAACCTGAAGAAGAGAAGGTATCCTCAGTCATGATCGAATTATGCTGTAACTTACGATTTTACTAGTAAAACTTCGCCAAGACGACCCACCCGATATGCCGCCACCATCGGCAATCGCCAATTTGTTTCGAAAAATAAATCGTGCCCTAATGCTCAAGTATGGAAGCTTCGTTAAAAATAAATACGCCCAGATTATCGAAAATTCAAATAAGTTTTCTCCCAATCAATTTTGTATTCAATTGCCCGCCAACGAAAGTAGCGTTTCTGCATGAAGTCTCCAATAAAAAAAATAAAATACGGACACAAAGATTACATTTACGTCGTGGGAACAATAGCAGGATGCAATTTACGCATCCTAGGATTCTTTTGATTGTTTTCTGGATAATCTAGAAGAATGAGAAATTTTTTCCTCTTATACAGTACATGATTTTCATATGATTTTAGCTTTTTTGATGAACCTCCTTTGAACCGTCACAATTAAATGGTGGCTGCCTATGTAGCTTGGACTTCGGAATCAATTCTTCCTGTTCCTACAAGTTTTTTAACGCTTTGATTCATTTATTTTCCCCCTTAAAGGCAAATGAATTGATCAGATCGCTGAAGATGATGCGGCGAGAAAAGCAGTTCACCGAAAAGGAAAAAGCTAAAACGAAGCGACGCGAATATAGGAAACAACTTCAGAAGGCAGAAGTGAAGCAAATACAGCGGGTGAAAAATCTGAAGAAACGAATATTCAAGGAAGTCAGTCGTATGAACAAGAAGCCGACATGACATCGGGTGGGATAATGAAAGTTTTTTCATGGCTCGATAAATTGTTTTTCGATTGCATGTATTTTCAGAGGAACGAAGGCCACTCATTTGTGATATGTTCCTCTGTTTTGCAGAATAAGAAATCCGATTGAAAGTGCTAACCTTCATCGTTCGCGCGCGATGATGGCGAGAGCTATATTACGTGCAGAAAGTGGACAATTTTAGTGAAACTATACAGCATTGTCGGGAATAGTTAATGTTATTCTGCGAGACTGCGTTCGTGCAACCAGTGCCAATGGACAACGTCGTCAGCTTGAATGCTATTGAGAATTTTCTACCTCCCAGAACGCAACCATCAGAGTTTTTCTTCGTTCATAACTTGCCTGGAATCCATAACCTTATTGCAGATCACAGTTACTGTGCGAAGTTAGAAGACGTTCACGAGTTGGTCCAAAACGATGACGTCAAATATGAAGTTGAAGACGTGTCCCATTCAGCCTGGTTTGAATCGGCGGCGGTTTCGGATGTTTTATGTGCTCCTGATAGCGAGCAAATTGAAGATATATCCAATTTTGTTCAACTGAATAATAATATTGGTTCTTGTATACGAGAAGCTCTGGAGGTGAACGGTGAGTTCGAAGCTATTTAGGTCTGAGATTCTGCTGTTTTTTTTCTGTAGAATTATTTTGTTTTCAACTTCTAAAGTTACGATGAACTAGTCTGCTTTTGAAATCGACCCTAAATTCCTGAGGACCATAGTTTTTTCAATTCCACCAGACTTCGATGAACATCGAAATTACTTCGAAAAAACCCCGCAATGTCAGTTCCTCTCGGAAAATGCCGCACAGTATCCGGTTGACACTCCCGCAGTCCTGTGCGATTTGAAAGTATTGAATAATTGTGGAGGTCTCGAAGAAAAGAATCGCGAAGAATTCGAAATTTCTGGGTCGGAATCGGGAGGATCTATTTTAGAAAGTGTCATTCTGAAGGATTCGGCTGAGATTGGTATGTCCGATTTCCTTCTAATCTCTTCGACCGACGCAACTTTCCGTATCGTACCTTGAAGTTCCCGCATGTGTTGCGCCGATTACGTCGAAGCCGAAAGTTGGTCGTCCGCGGAGTTCACTGACTGCTCGTAATTGCGAAGAATGTGGAAAGGGTTTCTTGCGCAACTCGGACTTTTTGGCTCATAAACGAACTCACGCCGAGGGGAAGCCGTTTACGTGCGATGTGTGCCCGAAAAAGTTCGTAAAAAATTACCAACCATTGAAGCAATTGTGGACGCGGTGCTCGTGTTTATTACTTCGCTGAAAATCAAAGTTCTTATTTCACGTGACGTTGAGGTGTCCTCCGGCAGCGAGGAATTTTCTTTTGAAAGAAGTGTTGATGCCCGTCATTCGCGTGATCTGTGATTACCTGTTCAGTACCTGAATTCTGCCTTTACTTGTGAAAGTGAAATTCTTCGAGGTCTCAGACTGAACTCTTCCTTCGAGGCGAGCGGATCTGGGGTTTCAATTGGTGTTGATATTTTTAAAATAACGAAAAGCATACAAAGTACTGTAAATGCTTTCGTAAATAATATTTTCGTATTCATGGGGTTTACACATTACTTGTGTATGATGTCGTTCATTTTGTCAAAAAATGTACTCATACAGTACCTGAAATTACCGATGTTCGGTGTATTGCTGATATGTAAATGAATTCCCTTTGATAAGTCCATCACATTAATGATGAGCGGGATATGGAGTTTCATAGCCGAATGGTGCACATTTCCAGCATCTGTATTTGCAGATAAATTTTCGATTGGCCTTAATTGCGTATCCTTGAGAAACCTAAATCAAATTCCCATCCAGATGTGTGAACCTATTTCGCGTCTTTTAGAATAATTATGTTGGTTTGACGAGTCATGAAGGAAGTATTGAGTAAACTTTCGTAACTAGAGGCATCAGTTAGCTATCCGATTTCCACGAGCGTCCACGTCATTGACCGAACATTTCGTCAAGGTTCTCGCAATTGGCAAAGTTGAATGCCCATCGTGGAGTGCACAGTGGTAATCGGCCTTTCACTTGTGAGGTCTGCGGCAAATCCTTTACCCGATCAACAGTCCTGCTCCAGCATCAACGAATCCACTCTGGCGAGAAGCCGTATGCTTGCGGTGAATGTGGCAAGAGCTACGCCCAAAGTTATCAACTTATTGCCCACAAGCGAACGCATTCCGGGGAGCGGCCGTACCTTTGCCCGGATTGCGGGAAATCTTTCATCACGTCCACTGACCTTAATATACATCGACGAACTCATTCCGGGCTTCGACCTTACGTGTGTGACTATTGCGGGAAAACGTTTTCGAGATCACATACTCTCACGATTCACCGGCGATCGCATACTGGCGAGAAACCGTATCCCTGCACGTTCTGCGGGAAGGCCTTTGTGTCCTCGGCAGATTTGAATCATCACAAACGAACCCACACTGGGGAACGTCCCTATGTGTGTTCCGAGTGCGGTAAAACGTGCACGCAGAGTGCGCACTTGTCGCAGCACATGATGTCGCACAGGAAGCACCGGGTGTTTCAGTGTGACCAGTGCGAAAAGGCATACATTCGGAATTCCCACTTGATTCGGCACAAGAGGACGCATACGAACGAGAGACCCTTTCGTTGCACGAATTGTGAAAAATCGTTTTATCACTCTGCCGACTTGATACGGCACGAGAGAATCCATTCTGGAGAACGACCGTATTCCTGTGAGAAATGTGGAAAAGCTTTCGCTCAATCATCCAATTTGAAGCAGCACATGAAGGTGCATGACAAGGTCAAAAACGGAAGCATGCGAGACTCCAGGTCTTCGGGTAGTAGCTCGGCAAGTTTCGGTGAAATCTTCGAAGATTAATTTATCTCATAATCTTTATTCGTTTAATTTTAATCTGTTTTCTCCTTCCATTTGTGCAATATCTGTACTGTAGTACAGTGCTGTACACGGTTATTTTAAAGAGTGATGTTTTTATTCATACTTATAAATTGATCTCGAAAAGTAATTGAATATCCTAACGATGTCGCGATCTTCGACATCAGCAAACTATTATAGCAATTACGCACAGTCAAATACGGTAATTCAGTCCCTTTTAATCATTTATGAGCTGTGACCACTTCATTATAAGTCTTGATGCTCTTTAATGCCGTAATGTGATCAAGACCTGTTAATGCTAGCTTGCTGTCAAAGTTTCCTTGACCCACATTATTTTTAAGTTGATTTTTATGGGTTTTCTCATGATCCTAAATTATAGCAAATAGAAAAAGGTTTCGAAATTTGAGTTTGGGAACTACAATATTATTTTTATCAACTTCAGGTTCGCCATAGCCTCAATACTTACGTAATATAAGCCTTCAAGTACTTGTAAAGCGGTCGTAAACTTATTTAACTTGCTTCTAGTAAAGACTCGTTATTTGTAAATAAGTACCCACTTCATCTTGTGACGCATGTGTTCACGTGCTGGTCCCCGTGCGGCGAGTTTTCCGCATAAATGTCGACGAATTTGGATGGATTTGCAACAGTTGACGGTGTCTTGGACGCAGGTAAATAGCTTTGGTTAATCGGACGTGATTGAATTATGTGCCGCCCGGGATATCTAGCCGGTTGGGCTGAAGTGATATACTCGGAACAGTGACAGTGAAGAAAGATGGTCGTCATCGCCGGTGCTATCGGAAGACCAAAGCTGGTCTCGGACGTTCAATGGCGGGATACAACCATCTTTCTGCGTTGCTAGATACAGTACATGCTACGTTTCGTGTGAATTTTCAGGAATGGATGATTTGTTAGATGTGAATATCTGGTCACCGCGTGATGCGCCTCCGAGTGAAGTGAAATCTCTTGAGAAATACTTGTGCAACTTGGACAGCCGTGTTGTTGAGAAACTGAAAAAAGGTTTGTGTTGAAGTCGAATCTGATTCAGCATTAGATCAGCTGTATAATTCATGAAATTACGGTAAATGAAGGGCTTTATCTCTTTGGTCCGTCTGTATTACTATGATTCGAATAAATTTGTAAGTTGAACGTGCTCACCCAAGTCCAACATCTAAATTGAAGATGCTTCAGAATGATTTATGGAATTTTTAGAACAAGAATAAGCTTATGTCTAATGAACATTTTCCAGCTGCCTTGAAGTCGATTTGTGGAAAATCTTTGACGCCGAGTACATGGAAGAAGCTCGTTTTGGAATGCCATTTGCTGACGAAGGACTCCGACGTACCTTTGGATGCAACCATTTTGGCGACTGTATTTGCAGCTTTACTGTCCCTCTACGGCTGCTTGTTTCAACACTCACCATCGAAGCTCAAGAAGGGCCTTGTCAAGCAAAAGTTGCAAAATTTGAAGTAAGTTCTGTTGTTCGAATTCGAAGTCCAGTCGTTGGTGGTGTATCCGTTCTACTTCTGCATCCTTCGCGTCAAGTTTTATTCTAATTTTATCTTCGGCTGATGTTCTGACTTCTGAGATCTAATGAAAAAAAACGTGGTTAGATTTTCGTAAGAGCTGGAGTTTATATCTTCAAGAATATTCTGAGTTTTCTAGGTATTCGGGTGTGAAAACATACCGTAATAGCTTTGCTATACAAATCTGGATTTTTTGGCAGCGTGCAGTTTTAATTTTCTTCATTCGTGAATCTCCTTTGAATCCTGTACGTTAATTCTGAATATGCAGTGTGGTATTAAAAGCTACTGGTATATTTTTTTGTTACAGGCTACCATCTGAATTCATTGAAGATTTTCTTGAAACATTTTTCGGTGACGTTGGAGAGGAAGTTCGTGAACGGATTGGTGCAATCAATTCTGGGTCTTTGAGTGTTGCTTCCGTTGATTGGGCGGTGAACGGAACAATTTCTACCAGGTTTGCGATAAGTTTCTTAGTTGATGATTTTTATGCTCCCCGATGAACGACTTCATTGTCGTGTGTGTCTTGAAGTTGAACTTCCATCATGTTGACGGTATTTTTATGAAGCCGTTGTTTTTTCCTTTTTTTCTTATGTAGAGATGTGATTTCCCTTATGCAACCCTATGTGAAAATGGAGATGAGACTGACTGACGGTTCGACTAGAACCGTGGTGCTTTCGTTGTCACAATTCCAGGAACTGCGTTTCAGTGTTGCTTCCCACCTTCGCGATATGTCGGAGATCGAAACCCGCAAGGTATTCAAAGCTTGAAGTTCCGCGTTTAGTCACGCAATCGTCGCATCCAGTCATTATTGATCGTGTCGCTGTTTTATCTGGGATGAATGGAAATCATTTGGAAGTACATTTACCTTTTTTATGAACCCACATCGTTGTATTCATTTCTTTCAATTAGCTTAGTAATTCGCTGTTCTGTTTTAATCGAAAGCTTTCAATGCGCCGTGCGTTTTTGCAGGAAATGTGATGGGGCCGAAGAAGAAGTCTGGCGTGCATGACGATTCTTTTTCGTCGTCGAAAGGGAAAAGAAATGACGACATTTATGCTTGTGCTCAATGTGGGCTGTATATGTCGGGGTTCGATGCGGGAGACCATCAAATTGTCGACTGTGAAACCACTCGAGCATTAAATCACAGCTTTGCTTTGGTTAACCATAGTAGAGCATTTCTTCGAGGGAAATGCCGCTTTAGAAACCCTTCGCAAGGTTTGTAAACTCATATTCGTTCTCGGAAGTGACCGCAAGAAATATATCCCAGCGGGTGTTTTCAGAGGGACTGGCGAATTGCAAAATGAATGCGATCATGTTGAACCCGAAAGCAATTAAGATTTGTGGATTTTTCGTCGGGAAGGAAATTCTTCTTCGTGAAGAAATGAGTTCATCGTGGATGGTGTGCATTGTTTTACCCGACAAAACATTGCCTCCGTTTGATATCGGCGTATCTGAACAAGGTGGGTATTGGCAAACGATTATTGAAATTTGCGTGTGATGTAAACTATCATCATAGTAAGCTCGTGTCAATCGCTGAACTTCTTCGTGCTTTTCACTTTAGAAAGAATAAGTAGATTCTGAGCGTGAAACGAAATTCATCGTTCATTCGAAATCTTCATTGTAATGGAAATCTTTTGTGTAATGCAGGTCATCTTGCTTCCCGATTTGTGTATTTGATGATTCCAGACGACGTCACTTTTTCCCTTGGTTAGTTTTAGGCATTTGAGAATACAGTGTATTCTACTTTCAGAATATATAAATTGTGATTGTTTTGGTATGGGAAGTTTAAAATGAAATTTTAAGCTTCCAAACTCACCTTATGCTGTACCAACATTTCATGTTTTGATCTTCGTTTCTTTTCTCAGTTTCAAAGTTGATGAACATCAAAACTTCTTCGATCTGCATCCTTCAGTCGTTGGAATCGTCAGTCAAGCCATGCGACTACATCTCTTTCAATGTTAGAGCCGTGATGGACAATCGTGCTGGAAGTAATCTTCAAGAAGAAGATGTGATTCGTAAAATTTCTAAAACAGGTTTCGAAGCCTTCCTTAAGTCAGAGCTGGTGGGGATTCGACTGACATCTCAGTCAATTCTTCCTGTCAATTTCTTCGGGCTTGCGCTTGACTTGATTGTAACTTCTTGTAGGTCTTCGTGGGAGGATAACTGGGTAAGAACTTGCTTCTATTCACGAGAGTTGAAATACTGTACAAGGGTTATTTTTATGACTTGCTATTAGCATACGGAAAACGAGGAACTGGTTTTGTCAATGCAAAATCTCAACGTCACCGAAGACGAAGATCGCCTGGAGTTGAAAACTCTGGATGTCACAGGATTTCCCGACTCTGAAAGTCAAGTGGAATTCCCGGAAGGTGCTGGTGTTACTACGTTTTGTCCCTTGGGTGCATCGACACCACATCCGAAAAAAGCAGGATCTTCCAGAAGAAAAAGCAAATGTGTCGTCGCGTTGAATCTTCTTAGTGGAGATTCACCGACTGTTTATCGAATCCATTCGTCGACGTGCTTCAGCTATTCCGCCCAAATGAGAACTGAAGAGTGTAGTGCTAGTGGATTGGATTCGGATGCATTGACGCTCGATCATGTTGGTGGCATGGACAATATTATCAAATATCTGCTCGAATGCATCGATCATTCCCATCGGGAGAAGTCTTTTGGACGTGAGTGGTTTTCTTCGTTATTTTCGTCCAAGTTCGATTTCTCCTTGGAGTCCTGAAGAATTCCATGCTGTGCTGTGCGGCAAGTTTCTGAAAGTGATTCTTTCAATATTTTTCAAGTGTTCCTCCCGCCAACCGGGGTTTTGCTTCATGGTCCTGCGGGTACAGGAAAGTCACTGCTCGGCAGATGTTTGAGCGAGAAATTCGGAAAGAACTTTTTGTCCATCCGGGGTGCTGACGTGTTCTCTAAATTCGCCGGGGATACGGAACGAGAGCTTAGGAAAAAATTTGACGAAGCAAAACGCCGGTGTGTACGAAGATGCTGTAACCAGCGAAACATTTTTTGATTTCTCTTGAATTTCCATATTAATATTTCAACCAAGATCCCCATCGGTCATTTTTATGGATGACGTGGAGAGCCTGTGTGCCAAAAAAGAAGGAAATAGCAGAACGGAGCAAGAAAGCCGAGTGTTGTCTGCGCTTTTAACTATGCTCGATGAGCTGCGAGGGTAAGAAAATACGTGAAGCATTACTATATTTTCAAAACGCATTTTTAATTGTCGGACAGGAGAGCCTTTACTTCAAAATAGCGTCAAACCTGTCCCAAATTTATCCTGCCGTAAACTGAGCTTGACCCGATCTGATTTCAGCCCTAGAAAATTTTTTTCGTTAATGTAGGCGACACCTGTGTATTAGACAGTGAAATCAGAGCCTTGACGCGCAAGAGAAAACAAGACGGTGAAACTAATGATGCGCAGTGGGACCTCGAAATACGGACGATTCGACGTAAAGACACTGTAAACTCACAAAAATCTTCCCCGGCATCTGGGAAACACCTCGCGTTATGAACAATTTTTCAACGTTTCGAGAAAAATTGAAAAATCGTATTTTTCATAAATATTGATGTCTCTCAACCAATTTGTGCTGCCTATATTCACAAAAATTGAAAAATAAATTTTATTGAAAATTTACTCCAAATTCATAATCCAAAAGAAGCTGATCTTCTGCTTCCTTTTTCAGATCGTATCTTCATCTCTGCGCAGTGTAGGGATACTTTTGCTTTTTCTTCGCGTTTTGGACTCCTTTTCATGCCAGATCTGTATTTATCTTCTGCGGAGTTATTTCCTGTATCTTGAAGTTGAGAAACAAATATTATTCAACTTTGGGGGACTGTTCTCTTGTTTTTTGAAAAACAGAAGAACCAGTTGAATCATATTCCCGTTGAAGTCTATGGAAATTTGTGACCCGACTTGAGAACGTCCTGATATAGGAGCAAGATATAAGCACCAATTACGTCCGCATCTCGGGCATTACTACTGTATTGTTATAGAGGATTGCTCGGAATGAGAAAGCCATGATAGTTTCATGGACGGTAATTTGCAATGTTGTCTATGCAGTACGTTGATGAGAATTTCCTTTGACATAACAGTCCTCCAGCGTCACGCGTGATCGTTATTGCAACGACGAGCAAGCTTTCTTCGATTGATCCGGCTATTCGAAGATCTGGAAGGTTCGACCGGGAGCTCGAAATTGGTGTTCCAAACGCGGCCGAGCGATTCGATATTCTTGAGAAGATCCTGTCAAGAACTTCCCACAGCGTCTCTGCGACGGATACGGAACTTATAGCAGCTGCTGCTCATGGTTACGTGGGTGCGGATCTGGCACTAGTTTGTGCTGAAGCAGCCGCTGCAGTAGCTCGGGAAATGTTGGCGAGTGAATCCCGGACAATCACTGTTACCCGCAAAACCCTCGAAGCCGCGCTGAAAAGTGTCAAGCCGAGTGCTATGAAGGAAATTTCCGTGGACATTCCTCAGGTCAGTTCGAAAGTTGACTGCGATCGTATGGACATTTTCCTTCATTATTGACCGCAGAATTGCTTTTCCGCGAATCGATACGTCAGTCGTGAAAAATACAGTCAACCCTCGATAAGCCGCCACCATTTGTTCGTGAGATTTGTGGCGGTTTAAAGCGTCGGTGGCTCATCAAAAAAGCTGATATGAGATGAACGTTAAGTATAATAGGTGATGAAATTATTTTTCTTTTAAGAAAACAATCAAAATAACCCTTGGATGCGTTAATCATGTATAGTTATTGTTCCCAAGAAATAAATTATGTCATATTTGTGTTTGTATTTCTTTTTTCCTAATGTAGACTTCTCGCGTGAACTTGAATCTTGTCGGTACGCCATTGAAAAAATTAATTGGCTGGAGCATATTTGAGTTATGAATAATTTTGGAAATTGTTTTTGATAGGGTTTATAGTGTTATAATCATGAAGGAACATTTGTTTTTCGAAATAAATTGGCGGTTGCCGAGGGTGGCTTCCAATAGGGGTTCGAGTGTATTCAGTCGAATTTTCGTTTGGCTGCCGAATCACTTGCGTTGGTTTTTTTTTTTTTTTCATCAGGTAAAATGGTCTGACATTGGTGGAATGGAAGAACTCAAAATGAAGTTGAAGCAAAGCGTCAGTTGGCCTTTGATGAAGCCAGAAGCTTTTTTACGAATGGGTGTTCGTCCACCGCGTGGTTTGCTGATGTATGGTCCACCGGGTTGCTCAAAAACTTTATTCGCCAAAGCGCTTGCCAGTGAAAGTGGTCTGAACTTCGTTTCAGTAAAGGTATTCCAATTTTTCTGAGTTAAAAAAAATTTAACCGACTGGATTTTTTTCGGACCCCAATCAGAGTCCTGCTGTAGTTTTTACTTTTATCCTTAACTTATTAAATGCTGCTCTTAAAAATCGAGCTCATGCAGAATGTTGCATCTAATTGACAAACTTGGCATTGTATTCTTCGTTTCGCGTGATAGAGCTTCTTGAATTCTATGCCAATGCGCGGTGCTCCGTTCGAACAAACCATGATTTCCGTAGAGAAGAACATACTTGCAATTATTGTCAACGACTTTCAGGGTCCCGAGTTGTTCAGCAAGTGGGTTGGAGAGTCGGAAAGTGCTGTGAGAGAAATTTTCCGAAAGGCCAGACGATGTGCTCCTTCCATAATTTTCTTTGACGAAATCGATGCGATAGCTGGAACCCGGTCATCGGGTGGTTCGTCGTCTGGTGGTGCCAATGTTCAAGAGCGAGTTTTGGCTCAAATGCTCACGGAAATGGACGGAGTGGTCGAGTTGAATAATGTGATGGTTGTTGCTGCCACGAATAGACCGGATATGGTGGATCCTGTGAGTCATATCGTTATTTTTATGGTAGAATTTCGTTACAACGAATATCGATCAAACAAATTATTGCTTCCTAGGAATTCATTTTTAGGCCCCTGCTCGATATACAATATTATTTGAGTTTGTGTATAACGACCTATTTTATACTAAAGCTTATTTTTGTGATCCCAATCGCTTTGTTCTACAGTAAAATGTCGTTGCAAAATTTCAACTAAAGTACTGTATAACAAAGGGTTTTTCAATGCCAGGCAGAAAGTCGATGGAGTACATCTTAAAACAATCTAATTAAAACAAAATTCCGAATCCCAGTATAACAAACTTTTATGCGAAATTTCTAATGGAATCTCCTGGTAAAAAATTCCTGAATAAAGCAGCCACCGTCTGAAATTTCCGATTTTAAGACGGACTGATTCTTGTAGCTTTGATTGATGCTGTCGTCGATTACAAAAAAGCATCCGAGTGGTTCAGCTCATCGTCCTCCCAGAATTAAGAGATTGTTGCAGCTGATGGAATACGTGTGATTAAAAATATTTTTTCCGGATCGCTCAGCTTTTCAAGCGATGATTAAAATCTGAGAATCAAAATCTAATTGATTATAGGCAGGTCTGATGCGAAAATTGTTTCCAGTCATTAACTTTGAAAATTTCATTACAGTATAACAAATTATTCATTATGCAGGAGCAAACTTTTCCGAATACTGCAAAAGAAAAATGTTATGAAATTTTGCTGTGTAGGGGTTGAAATTTAAAGCTTGCGTATCAGCGTATGGCTGATGTTTTATACAGTATTGTCTCTTTTTTGGATTCATTAGTTAAATCATATTTCTTTGTATGCGCCCCTGTCGTTGTGGGCAGTGTTTTTCGATTCTCCCGTTGAATGGGATAGAAAAAATTGAAGGCGAGTTTCCTTCGGACGGAATTTGTTGGGTAATGTAAAGGGCAAAAAAAATTTACGATGTGATGACTGGTGCAATTTTCAATTTCCTTGGGTTGGTTTTTGAAGGCGTTGCTTCGGCCAGGTCGACTGGACAGAATAGTTTATGTTCCTTTGCCGGACGCATCGACCAGGACGAAAATTTTCGAGATTCATTTGCGGAATACCCCTGTGTCGGACAATGTTCGTTTTTGTGAACTAAGCGAAAAAACAGAAGGATATTCTGGCGCTGAGGTAAATCGGATTATATGAAACCTGCTTTCGGACAGTTCGTGTTGATCGTTGCTTTACTTTACAAATAGATCGTTGCTGTTTGTCAAGAAGCTGCCATGAAAGCTCTTCAAGAATCGTTCGATGCAACAGCTGTTTCAGAAAATCATTTCCGTGCTGCCTTGGAGGTTGTTCGACCACGATTGCAACGACGAGACATTGTGTTCTACGAAAATTATTCCTGTCGTGCTTCTGGTGAATCGTGACAATGGATTTTAAGCAGGAAAACGGAAAATCTGGCGTTGAAACAGTTTCACTTAATTTTGAAGAGTTGGGTGTCCCTTACGATTTGGTGTTTGTGTAATCTTTCAGAAAATGAATATTTGTCCGATGCCTCTGGTCGGAGAACAGTATTATTTGGAAAAGTCGAAGAAGGCTGCGACATTGATCGAAGCAAAATCAGTTATTCATTCTGGAACTCTTCAATTTCCGAACTGCTTCAAATTGGAAGTATGTGGATTCCGATTGAAGAGCATGAATAATGAAATTGTAATTTATTATTGAAATTCACAGTATGAAGGTTACAAGCTGAGCAAGCAGCACGTGGATTCCCAGCAAGGTGCCAAATCCATGGAAATATTGTGAGTAAACTTGATCATTCACCCGAAATTCACGTTTTTCTTAGTAAATCATCTCTGGAAACGTGGTTGCCAGGCCCATCCTATAACATCATCCGTGAAATGTTTATGATCGTTTTTATGGGAGTAATTTCGATTTGACGCCTTAAATCTCGACTCACAAGTTTTCTCGGGTGTCGCTTGAATCTAGTTGCGGTTCTTCGTGTCTAAGTCATATTAGACTTGAGCAAGTGTGATTTAGGCTAGGTGAGGTTTTATTCTGCTGATTCAGTGAATCAAATTAAAATTCAGAACGTTCTGGAAATCGAGATTGATCCTGGAAGCATTATTTTTAGCTCTGTTAGACATTTTTTTTAAAGATATGTGAAACCCGTGACGGAAGACACACGAAGATCACGTGTTTTTTTTTTATTTGATCTGCAGGATACGGAAATTTTCAAACCACAAAGAAGTCGTCGAAGAAGAGAAGAAAATTTTGGCGGCTGTCAGAAATCAACTGCTGATGGCCGAGTCTGAGTTGGGATTGTCGTTGTCCGCAGGGACTACGTTTGCGGCCGCCAGATCCGAAGAAACGTTCCTTTGCAATTTATTCGACGCCCTCGACAAAGAAACTCTTTGCAAACTGCTTGAGAATGAGCTCGTTGCTCTGGATTCTCGGAACTCGACAGAGGACTCTGTTAATAAATGTTGCGTGTTGCTTATCTTGATCAGAAAACTACCTGAAAACATCAGTAGCGGTAGAGGAATGAGTCTGTATCGAATGTTGGAACAAATCGATGCATCGAGACAAGACATTCCGCCAGCTGTCCTCAAGTCGATTCATGTGCTCCGAAGAGTTCTAGGTGAAAAATTTCTTTCTCCGAAACTTATTATCAATTATTCATTCTTTTCGTGACTGTCGATACGTACACATCTGAAGCGGTTTCCGTTCCTTTCATGTAATGATTATTTATCTACATAAAAAGGTGTTTATTTTACGCAGTTGGGGAAGTGCTTCCGCATGTCATTCCTCTCAAGGACTCCTTTCCTACGTGGGAGCACCTGGCAGAAATGCTTTCGTCTTCGATTGAATTCAGTATTCCGATAATGTGTGGAGAAATCGCTGTTCATCGCGTGAGTATTATTCGAAGATATTCGAGAGGTCTATTAAAATTTCTCGGAATAAAAAATGACAGTTATAAAAACATTCTCTGGCAAAAAAAAGATTCAGCCCTCTTTGACAGTTTTTGCGAAAATGTTTTTAGAAGTTTCTCTGGCAGCTTTCTGCTCTTCCCTCAAAAGATGAGGCTCCCATTTCACAGATTTTTCAGTGTAGCCCAGCTTCTTTTTCAGAATTCTTGTAATCGACATGGCATTAATTCCAAAGGCAGCCTCCAGGTAATTCCAACAATTTGATTAACAGCAACCGTCACTTGAGATGAAAATATGGCCGCTGTGAAGGTGGCTTCTGCAAAAATTTTCGCGAAATACAGTTTGTCAAATTGGGCTGGTTTTTTCTTGTGCCAAAGAATGATTTTTCTGCACAAAATTTGTTTGTTTTTTACTTCAATTATATGCCATTTCAATTTTTATCCCAAGAACTTTTGTTAACCCCTCGCTCCGGAAACGCTTTGTATTGGTTTCCTTTTTCGAGGTCCTCTTTGTCGTGTTACGTTTTAGTTGACTGAATCGATGTTTCGCGAGAGTGTCTTAGTACGCACGAGATTTAAAGACTATAATCGCGCTTAATTTTTGTTGCATTGATTATGGGAATTATGAAATGTCTCTCGACGCATTAATCTTGACGATAATTATTATTTTTATTTTCTGAACAATCGACATGCAGGCGAGTAGACCCAGCAGTTATTTTGAAGATGACAGAGATCTGGCTGCCGGAGGAGATGGGAAAACATCATGGCGGAAACTGATTTCGATCTTACACGCTGTCGTCAAGAAGCTTGACAGAGGTCTCAAGATAACGTCATGGTTTTCGTCATCGAGGTAAAGACTTATGGATAAAAAGTTTTATTTTTGAACAAATTTCTGTCGATCAAAAAATTTCATTTATTTTTTCTGTTGTCTAAGTTCTATTGAAGGAGTGACAGCGAAGTTAACTGCGTTGGTTGCTGAGTCGAAATCTTCGGAAAAGCTGAAAGGAACTCTGGGTCAACAGATCGGTTGTTCCCTGGCAGTTTTAATTGTTCGGTGTGTGCTTGAGTATGGGGCTCTGTTGTGGCCTTTGTCTCCAGGTACGTGAAATTGACGCGATCTTTGAATTTTTTATTTATTTTTCGAAAAGGTTCCTCGTTTAAGAACAATTATTGCGTGAGGCAATCGTAACACTTCCGTATTAAATTTTCATTTTTTAAGTGCTGCGAAAATTCCTAGTTTTTCTTTCATTTCTGGGATTATTAATCTCCCTCCAAAATTCATTTAAATATTTTCTGTCAGTTGTTTTCCGCATCTTTTGAATGAATCGTCTACTAATTAATGAAGAACTATTATTTGGCAATGGGCTTCCAAATACAGTACTATACTCTACTTCAATGTACTGCAGTACATTCCCGATCTAATGCTAGTAATTTTTAAGTTCAGAGGCGAATGAAGTGACGAACCCGAATTGCAAACCAGAATTTTGTTGATGGTAATCTACCGAATGAATGAGCGTAATTAGAAGTGATGAATGATGTTCCGGTTAGTTGTTGCATCTATGCTTCCGATCATGCGCTACTGACAGCGGCCTCATTTTCTTATCAAATTGACGGGACCCTATATATCGGGTGAATATGTATATTTTCAGCTATATTTTGATCAAAGCAGGCATTTTCTGTGTCTCTCCGCTACGTGATTCATTTAAATCATGTGATGGACTTTTGGCTGACATTTTAACATTTTTTCATGGTTTCATGAATCTTTTCAAGTTGGTGAAGTCATGTGGCAAGCGAAAGGAACACTGGTGGAAGGATTCGCTGCTGCGGATCCCTGGCCAGTTTTATTCATGGAACTCGGCGATATGACGGACGAATCGAACCGCAGTAATTTTGGAAAGCTTATTGACGAGAACATCGTCACGGTTTCGCCACATTTAGATAGTTTGGACTCGTCAACTTTGGTGTCAGCGTTCGCCAATCTCAAGTCCGCTTTGTCACTTACGAAGTGCAACGATATCGTTCATAAGAGTAAGTTTCAATCGGATAAGGAAAATACGGTACTTGTGTGTTCATAATGATGCATTGTTCAATCCAGTAAAATCTCGTTCTAACGAATTCCGAGGGGTCTGAAAAAAATTCGTTCTATCGAAAAATTCTTTGAATCGAGATTCATGGATTTTAAGACATTTTAGAAGAAATTGTTGATAAGATTTTAATGCTTCTGAACCAAACAATGCAAGACCTATCAACATTTTTAATTCTCTTTTGAATTTTTGAATACCGTCTATGGTACTTACTTTTATTGAATTTGCCGTTCTACTAAAGTATTGTTTGTTTTGAAAATAAAATGAAACAGAAATGAATGTGAGAGAAAGTCTTAACTTTCTTCTGAATCAGTTTGTTCATGTGTACCTGCTGTTTGTTCTTCCAGAGGGTGGAAAATTATTTCAAGCACACTGTTCATTTGAACGAGAGGCAACATTCTCAAATGTAAGAAATATGACATGTTGTGTATTTTCATGAAAATTAAATGTTCTCTGCAGGAAGTTATGTGCTTTTTTGATGTAGTTGGAATGCTGTACAATTTCAATTTTTTTGTCGTCTATCAATTAATCCCTGTGGCCTATGCACAGAATCAGGGAAAAATGTGTGTTACAGTACTGAGATTAAATCAAAATCAGGTCTTCGTAACATGGGGCCTGTGAAAAAACTGCTGGGACCAAGAAAAAATTAATTGTTACGGAATCCTACTGTATTTTGAAGAGATTAAGAATCATCTGCACAAATTTTGCCAAACTTCGTAGCTCAACAACTTGCAAAGTTGAATATTTATTGAGTCCCTTAGAATCCGATTTAGTGATGCACAATTGTATTACAAAGTTCTGATTGTGTAGTAACTTCAGATATTTCCTATAGCGTTGTACAGTGCAGTCAACCCCTGCACAATATAACTTGTGCAGGGGTTGACAATTTGTGCTCTCAGTCTGGTGTGTGAAAAGTCTGTTATGTGAATTCAATTGTTAAAAATGAAAATTGTTTACTTTTACCATTAATTTTAAACCAATAGAAATCTGTTTGGCAGATTCAGTTGGTTGTGTGGGAGGGAAAACCACCTCCAGAGGCAGTCTGTTGTGCGAAAATCCGTTGCACGGGAAGTCAGTTGTGCAGTGGTTGACTGTACATCCTTCAAATTCGCAGGGTTTTGGCGAAGTGTACACCCAAAACTCATTGATGATTTTCTCGATTATTTTCAGGATTTATGGTGATATTTCAGAGGATCTCGTGGAATACATTTGCTCCTCTCCATCAGTCTGTGATGGCGGATGTAGCGTTGGCCGAGAAGAAATACGAAGCCGCGTCCGAGTTTTTGAAAGAAGCTAGTAGATTATTGGTTCAGAAGCCGAGAAACAGTCGAGCATCCGATACATCTACTGTGTTTCGGTCGCTCGAAGATTTTGTTTCGATCGGACTACGAACTACCTCGTATCTGTTTTCAACTGGGCAAAAGGCGGTGAGGTTCCATGACAATTTCAAGTAAAGTATGCTAATAATACAGTACTTTGCTACTGATGTGCGATTAGAGTACCACTAAGTTGTTTTTTCAGCCGTTGATGCCACCTTTTGCTTTGTTACGTGCTCAGAAATCATCACCACAAGTGCAAATTTTGATTTTTCTACAAAGGAGATCACATAAATTGATGACTTCTCCTTTCTTTCCGTACAGTGAACGTATTAATTTTTGAATTTCAAGTTGTTCCTCAGAGGAACAACTTGAGAAAGAAGAATTGCGGGTAATTATAATTAGTGGCTCGAAGGGAACGGTTTATTTGCCCCATTAATCTTCCACTTCCTTTCAAAACACATTGTTGTATTTTTATTGTTTTTCTCTTTCCTGTGTCAATAAAATAATAACCGAAATGCCTTTAGAAAATTTGAGTTATCCAGGTTTGAGGAGGAAAGCCTTCGAGTGCGGGAGATTTTTAATGCATTATCTCTGAAAGAATTTAGATACTCACTTATTGAAAATTTTTACTTACTGCGGTATTAGACTTGGGGAGGTAAGAGTTATTCAATCTTGTTTAAGCTGAATAATGCCTATTTAGAAAGCTGACGATCAAGCTTTTTTTGTGAAATTCAATTTCTATTGCGAAGAGTTGTGAAGTTTCATTTTTTACCTGGTGCACTGGAGCTTTTGCTGCATACAATTTCAAAACAATATCAACTTCAAGATGCAACGTTCCTGATCTTTAGCTTTCTCGCTTTGATGATATTTCCTCTTATTTCAACAGAAATAAAGTACAGTACAGTACCGTATTTTTATTGCAGGATGCAGCTTCGGAAGCCATTGAAATTCTGATCGCGGTCTGGAGGCATTCCTCTGGTCAAGATGACAACCTGAATTTCCTCAACGCTAGCTCATCCTTGACGGAAGCTCTGAGTCCATTAGCCATGGATGTGATACCGAATTCCGGTCAGAATCAAAGTGCCCGGGTCTTGTGCTTTCTTTCATTGAGGTTTATCGACATTGCAAAATTCACTATTCGGATTCTGCTGAATGTTCTCGAGGCGAGTTTTTTTTTTTTGCATTCTCCACTACCTGAAGTGTGAAAAGGTGCTTCGATGGAATGGACCGGAATGAGAACCAAATTATTTATATAGCCCTCGAATACAGAAAGTAAAATTCTTCGTGTTCAATTACAGTAGCATGAGGCGCGGTGTTCCGTTCGACGTATCCCGTATTTTTTATATTAGACTAAAAATGAAATCAAATTTGCCTGCGAAGAGAAGACGCGTGTTCATTGCATCCAATATTTTTCGAAGTCGATGAGTGTGTCAACTTAATCCCCTCAAAATCCTCCGACATGAATCGGGATTCTCACTCTTGTACCTGTACGACGAAAACGATATCGATGATTGCTCGAGTAAATATTTTAGAGTTTTTCATCTGGAAGGTTCGTTCGTTAGAGGCAATCGTGCAATTCGCTTGGAAATTGAAGACGCCGTCGAATTTTAGACGCACCATAAATTCTTCGAGAATTGGAGAAGCAGCTACCAAATTTTTTTTATGAACCCGCGTCATTTTCATGAAAATTGAAGTAGATTTTGCCAATATTTCTTGAAAAACAGTCATGTTATAATTAATGTATATGACTTATATCGTTCATTGTTGTGGTGATCTATTGTAGCCTGTTGTGCTGAAAAAGGGATCACTAAGCATTGAGGATGAAGGTTTCGGCTTCATGATGGTCCTCATGCAACTGGATTGGCCGCTGGACGAAATTATTTTCAATGAAGGCTGTAAACGGATTACAGCCAAGCAGAAATTTGCCTGTCCTTTCTTTCTTGAATATATATCCGAAAAATATTTCCTCGACGCCTTTGCTGCTATAGCCGTCGGATCTGAACCTGTGCAACTGGACATATTTAGGTGAGCGTGCCGCGAAGAACTGCTTCCAATGGAATTTCGATTTTCTATTCTGGTTTTTTTTTTTTTGAGAAAGAGAGATTATTTGTGGTGGAAGCGCAAATCTTGATTCTGCTGAAGGACGGGTGGTACTGCACTGAATTCATCTGCAGGGTCTCGTAATTACAAAAATGTACCGTAATTATCTCATACTGTATTTTCAAAAAAGGCGGATCGCGTAATTCTCTTAAAATTTTATCGCAATTTTGATCAAATGAATTTGAAGGCAAACATCAGTGAATTTCGGGACTATTTTGAAGGATTCACTTCGCGAATTACAATTTTTGATTTCTTGCAGTGGAAGATCGTTGAAAGGATCCTCTCCGAATTAACCACGATTCCGAGTTATATATTTTTTACTTTCGTTCTATTGCGGTCCACTGCCTTCAAATCAAACTTTGATTGACCAAAAAATTAGCAATAGGGAATCCTTCATTTTTGTTGAGGGAAAAGGGATTGCTGGAAATTATAATTGACGATATTCTTGGCCTTGAAATGCTTCTCAAATACTGTTAATTGAAAGAATGCTGAACTTGGAGGCAAGGATGTATTTACTCAAAACTCAAATTAGTATTTTACTTTCTTCTATAGCACATAGAGTTACATTTTTATTGCTTCTATCTTTCCTTCGTCAATGAAATAATTGCAAAAAGGCCTCCATAAAAATACTTAACAGAGCTTTGAGCGGGAAAGCCATTGAGATAAATTGGCTTTCAATGCATTGTTTTCGAGGAAATTCAGCCACTGACTTGAAGAAGGTCTACATTGGGAGTTATTCGGCTTAAAAAGGTTCACGTTATTGAGGTTCAGCCGTAATAATTTTGATGAACATAGACACCTATAAGCGTAACTACCGTATGTCCAAAGCATCGTGTCTATGTTTTGTGTTTTAAATTTTTATTTTCATTTTTTCGTTCATGTAGAAACGATAGCAATGGTGTCACGGACTGGAGAACAGCGTTCGTCCAAAGGATGCAGCAACCTCGTGTTCCCATGTTGGAGTGTGTGGCAAAATTTCTCACGGAGATGCATTTGCCCATAATGACGTTCATTCGCTCAAATTCCTAGTGACGCGGGAAAATCTTATTCTTGTGATCAGCTGTACGTCTTTTGTGAATGTTTTTTTTTTTTACACGATTGTGTCCCTGATAAATTATCGTTTTTCTTAGTACGTGCCGTTCATTAGATTCCATGTAAATTTTCAGCTTTTGAGGGGGGCAATTTTAAGTATGCATGCGAAAACCGGAGTGCAACAGGCAATTTTCTTGAGGAGCAACGATAAATTGGGAATTGGATGCTGTACCGGGCTACCAATCTCTAAGACCTTCATCTGTTTCAGCGTGACCAGAGGAGTTTTTAAGTGGTTACAATGATGACCCATGAACAGAGCACACAAAAACAACCATTAGAATTACCAAGAACAAGTTAAAAACTGTTAACCCATACAAACTGGGGGTGCCCATCAGCCACATCTAGGCATGTAGGAAACATTCCATGAGGATTTTTAAAAATGTTCTAGCATGATAGCAGGTTACATTTTTAAGTTTCACAAATAATCGCGTAGTTGTGTCCATTGTACCAGTATTCTTGAGTTGAATATTTTTTTAAACCTGTGGCCCTGCAGGCAACAATAACTGTAAAATGAGGATGGGTTTTTTTATGTCATGGAATCCAGGTCACATCATGTTTGATGTGTATGGTTAATCTGATGTTAACCATGGGCATAACATGAGCAGGGGTGTTCACTTCTGTTATGGTTCATACACAAGGGCTGTCCCACTTCCACTTGACCTTGGGTATTTCTAGAGTATATAACACTAAAAACAGTTATAATATTATATGATGTAGCCCATCTAGTTTAAGTTACAGGGATTTTTATTTAAAAAAAATTAGATTTGCTGCATGATGATATGTAAAAACTTTCCAGTTCTAGTGACAGTTCTCCATTCATGTCACAAGTTGAAAATTTTTTTGGCACACAAAATATTGAATTTTGTTTTTAACATGAACTTTCCTACACCTTCTGACATTTTGAAACGTTTTCAATGATTATTTTGTTTGCAACAAATGAAAACCTAAGTACATTCTGCATTTTTCCAAGAGGAAGGGTCTTTTTGCAATTTTTTTCATTTCCTCTTCAAGAACATAATTGAAGGCAGATTTACTCCCTGGAATATTTTTCTTACAATCTCAAAATTTTATGCAACTTCTGTTTTTTCAATGGTCTGCCTCAAGGTCAGAAAGCAAGGTAAGGAGAGGTCTGCCAATGTTCTAATTATTCTTGTCCCCCTCCCTTGTTCATCACCCAGTTTTTTTGTTTTTGTGCTAGTTCTGCTCCTCGCCCCATTTTAGTTTGATTCAGCGTGAAATAGGAAACAAAGCAATCAGTACAGTTTATACTTCGAAGGTTTGCTTGGACTTCTTTCTTTTCCTCCTATTCAACTGATTATATTGGCGGAGGAGCTATTTGGGTTTCATGACAATGTCATCTTTTTTATAAGGTAAGGTTTATTTTCATGAGCCATGGCTTTGTTCTGAGGCAATTTCAGTGAATTTGTTACAGAGGAAAGCGGTTAATTGAGAAACAATTTAAATCAATTCCGAAATTTAGCAATATGTTAACTTTTTTTATTGAATTGGAAATTTAAAAAATGTAATTTAATGTAGATACAGTCAAAACTCTTCAAGTTGAACTTCACTGGAACACAAAAAATTGAATTGAGGAGGTTATGGATGCATTATTTTTTAGGGAATTCAGGCCAGGACTTGAAAACAATTGACATATTGAAGCATTATTCTCCTTGGGGAGATTCAAGTTGTCCAGATTCAACTCAAGTACTACAGTATTTCTGCATGAATTCTGTTGGAAATTTTGGGACATAGAAAAATGTTTTGTAGTAGACCATTTTTTATTCAGTGATGGTATTTTTATGATGGAATTTAGCCTGCATTTGCTGTATCTAACATGATATTTATCAGATCAGAGCCCAAAATTTATAAAACCCTTTTCTGATGATAAATTCTTGGGTGTGAAGTTAGCCATGCATTGGTATGGGACCGTCCCTGGCCCAGCACGTCTGCGTGCATGTGGCAGCACTATATATCCAATAGTGTTTCCATTTGCCTTCAGCATACGCATTTCTGCTGCCCAGCAGGGCTGGCCAGGTCTCTCATATCCATCATATTACGTAAATCCAAGTATTAGCCCATTTTTCCTCGTTTTGCTCAATACATTTCGATAAAAGTAAACTTATAGACTGTACAGAGAAATACTGATTCGCTACGCTCACTGAGTAAAAAAATTAATATCCGTTCTTTCTGGTTTTACTTATTCTTTTATGGGCCCTTTGTCAAATGCCTTCAAATGTGAAGTCATCACGAAAAGATGGATAATTCCGCCATGGCCGCGAACTTTGTTCAATGGGTGCTTCTCAGTGTTTGTTTTCAAAAGGCCACTGATCCCCTGATCACATCAGGTGGTGTCAGATATGCACCTGCAGTGCCAACTACTCCAGCTCCAGTTTACTCTAAAGGTGGGATATATATGCAGTATTACATTCAGATAGAGGTATTTTTTCAGCACAATGCATTTGTAAGGATCCCAGCAGTTTCTTTATGTAGAAACCATGCTAAGAAAGTAGGAAATGTTACATATATATGCCATGAATCTAATTATCATGAAGAATTTTGTTGATGGTCCTGGAATTTTCACTGTGCAGCACTGTTCAAAAAGAGTTTCTCAATTTTATGGAAAATTTTGAGCATGTGAAAAGTTATGTAGAAATCAAGTTTTCATTCATCAATGATAAATTTGTTTTCAGGAAAAAATGGGGCTCCTTTTCTGGGAAACTTATTCGATGCTGTGTAAAAAAAAAAGCCGACGTTTCATTTGATCAGCTTTTTTTTTCAGTGTTTTCCTCCACAAGAACGTGCAATTTTAATTTTGAATTCATTTCTACTAGCAAAACTGCAACTTTAATAGAGAGAGTAAAATTCCTGTTGGATTCACGGGGATTTTCATCATCAAATCATAACATTATTTTTGGTATGGTCATAATGACTGAGGAAGCATTCACATTCCCATGATAATTGATAATATTTACTGAAGATCTTCCTGCGGTATTGAAGTGGAACCAATTAATGTGATACATTCCATCGAATTAAGCCCATATAATGTTCAATGCATGAAAACTGCAGATATACATGCCATCAATAAAGATGTACACAGACCAAACTTTTGCAAAGGACATTTCGGGTAAAATCAGGCATCCCCTCAAATGAGCCTATATATAGGCCATATATAGTCCATAGGAATATAGTCCATATGTATGAGACAAACTGAAGATTTTGTGACCAAGCAATTGAGTACATATTTAAACCAACAATGACAACAAATGTAAACTTTATGTGGTGAAGCATTCTGGAAATATGAAAGGCCAGACAGAAAACCATTTAATTTTATTTTTGAGCTTGAAAATGCTGTACTTGTGGTTTTTTGACTGGTATTTTTGAAGATTGATTCATTAATTTGAGTACTGTATTGTGTGCACCAAAACTGAATTTTTTTTTACCTCAGTGAGACAAGCATTTCATTTTTGTTATAGATTCCCGGGAGAAATTGGAGTACTGTATAAATGCAATAGGAACTCCATAATAAATTGTAAGTTTCCTGGGCACAGTCATTCAATATCCAATAATACTTTTGAAAATTACATAACATTTTCTTGCGTGATTATATGTAAAAAATCCTGGTTTACACAAAAACACATTTCTTTCTTTTCTCTACTGACGAATAAAAACGCTGCAGTAACTTAATTGGCAGCTTCTTGGAGAAAAATTATTTTATCATACAGAAAATGCTTGTTATCGTTTAAACATGTGGTCAAGATGAAAAACTTTCATCAAAAACCGGAAATCACTTCCGTGCAAGATATTCTTGTCCACAAACTGAAATAATTCGCAGATGACCTGGATGCTGAATGTGACAACAAAGTTTTCGACTACAGTCCGGAAGATGATCTGAGTCCCGACGTTTTGCTCCCGGAAGTCAATTACAACGGTACCAAGATTCGAGTCGGAATTGTTGACGTAAGTCTTTTCTGAATCCTTGAAAGATTGCACAATTTCGTAGGAAATAAATTTCCATTAAAGGACTATATGCAGTACTGGAATCATTAAAAAAATAATAAATGTCCTGCTAAAATCAACAGTTAGGTGATCCGAAAATTCCTTCTTGGGCTCCGCCTTCAATTTATGATATAAAGTCCTTCTATGAGGGATTTTCCAGAAAAACTAAAATGAGAAAAGAAATAAAAATGAAATGAAAAAAATGCTAAAGAGTAGCAATTTTCTTGTGCATGAAGGGAAATACAGCAGTACAAATGATGATTCAATGTGTGTATAGCCCACCAAGAATTAGAAAGGATGTTTCTTCAGTAGTACATTAAGCATGATAAATTAAACAAATTATTTACCCTATTATGAGCTCTGCCAAGGAATTAATTTCAGGTGATATTATTTTAAAGTATTCCAACAAATACTTCTAAAATAATCATCAGAAAATTGTTTTTAAAGTGTCAGTCAAAACTCTTCAGATGATATCTAAATTTATAATACGTCTTGTTGAGATGGAATATCACTACAGTATATTCATTGCAAACTTTTTTGGATCTTTCTTTTGAACATGTAGGAATTGAAATATATTTTTTTACTTTCTGCATTTCAGTTGTGAGAAATGCGCTATTATTCCGCTAGAAAACGTTGTTTTAAGCATGTTATGTGCTCAGAAGAAAAACTTACAAAATGTTTGAAGGAATTTTAGAGGAAAAATCTTGCTTAAAGTTGTTTGAGATTTACAATATGCACAAATGTGCTTTTAAAGAAATTTCCATAGATAGAGGATCCCTCGAAGTTCCGTGTTATACGCGATTTCATTCGAATACTGTACATAATATACACTTAAAAACCTTTATAGATGAGACTTTTTATTCAAATGTTGACGTATAGACTGTGTAGAATTGTCTTGTATAATCTTATATCGTAAATTAATCATGAAAATTTCATCTCGTGGTTTACACTAATAATGAGGAAGTTTGACTTTAAATTCTACAGAAGGAATATATGATTTTATTCATCTTTCCAAATCACACCTTTTCAAAATAATCTTCAAGTAATGCTTGCTTGCTGCTTATATAGTTTAAAATTCACTATTTTTGGAAGCTCAGCTGATTTTGAGA